GCAGATTTGGGGATTAAAGGGGGATCACTGTAAAGCTGACCTGTGTGCTTTTGTTTGTATGCAATTATTGATAGAGAAGTTAGCTACAGCATCAAGATTGAAGTCCCTCAAAATGACAGCTAGGCAATTTTATACTGTAATTGTTTAGCCACCTGTTTGAGAAGATCATGGCTGGAGCACCAGGGATGTGTTCATATATCCTTCTTGCCTGCTATTACAGGCTGAACCATTGATCGAGACTGCGTGTGAATGACAGAACTGGTACTTCTAGTCTCTTGTTTTCAGGAACTTTACACACTGCTAAGGCCTGAGGGAACTTCAACAGGCCAAAAGAATCTGAACTTATCTGTATGGTCTGTGTGTGCTTATGAGTGTAATCTGTAGATCTCCAGAGGAGACTCTATAACCTTTCTGTTTGTAATTGCCAAGTCACTCTCCAGGAAAAGTCATTGCAGTCCCAAGTTACTAGGAAAAGAAAATTTTGAAAAGGAAATATTGTACCCATCTGTAAAGGTGGAAAGGAGGACCCTGGAAACTACTGCCCAGTTGGCCTCACCTCTGTGCCTGGGAAGGTCATTGAACAGATCCTCCTTAGCTGTGCTGAGGCACATGGAGGATAGGGAGGTGGTTTGGCACAGCCAACATGGCTTCATCCAGGGCAAGCCCTGCCTGACCAACCCTGTGGCCTTCTGTGATGGGGTGACTGTCAGTGGACAGGAGAAGAGCAACAGACGTCATTTATCAGGACTTCTGCAAAGCCTCTGACAGGCTTCCTCCTAACAACATTCTTTCTAAATTGGAGAGAGAAGGGTTTACTGTGTGGACTGTTAGATAGATTAGAAATTGGTTGAATGGTCACATCCAGAGGGTAGAGGTCAATAGCTCAGAGTCCTGATGGACATCAGTGACAAGTGGTGTCCCTCAGCGATCTGTTTTGGGACCAGTGTTATTTAATATCTCTGTTAATGCCATGGACAAAGAGATTGAGTGCACCCTCAGCAAGTTTGCAGAGGACACCAAGCTGACTGGTGTGGATGACAGATCTGAGGGGTTGGATACCCTTCAGGGGAATGAACAAGGTTGAGATGTGTGCACTTGGGATTCTCAGGAGTTTTAACAAGACCAGGTGCTGGTGCTGCTCCTGGGTTGGGGCAAGCCCCAGTCTCAGCACAGGCTGGGGATGAACAGCCCCAGAGCAGCCCTGCCCAGAAGGACTTGGGGGTGCTGGTGGGTGAGAGGCTGCACATGAGGCAGCCATGGGCACTGCCAGCCCAGAGAGCCAAACGTGTCCTGGGCTGCATCCAGAGCAGCGTGGGCAGCAGGGCCAGGGAGGGGATTCTGCCCCTCTGCTCTGCTCTGCTGAGACCCCACCTGCAGGGCTGCATCAGCTCTGGCTGCCAGCACGGGAAGGACATGGAGTGAGGCTGAAGGAGGGCTATGATTGGAGGGATGGAGCATCTCTCCTATGAGGAGAGGCTGAGAAAATTGAGATTGTTCAGTGTGAACAGTCTCAGGAGAAGAGAAGGCTCTGGGCTGACCTAATTATGGCCTTCCAGTAGCTGAATTAAGCCTACAAGAAAGCTGGAGAACGACTTCTTACAAGAGCATGTGGTGACAGGACAAGGTTACTGTAGTGGGTTGACCCTGGCTGGATGCCAGGCACTGAGCAAAGCCACTCTGTTGTTCCCCTCTGCAGTTGGACAGGAGATAGAGAATATGATGAAGGGTTCATGGTTGAGATAAGGTGTGGGAGAGAGATTACTCATTAAATACTGTCATAGGAAAACCAAAGTTGAATTGGGGATATTAACTGAATTTATTGCTAACAAAATCAAAGTAGAATAATGAGATGTAAAGTAGATTGTAAAAACACCTTCTCCCCTACCCTTTATTCCTTCCCAATCTCTACTTCCTTCCCCACCAGTAGTGAAGGGAGGTGGGGAATGGGGGTTACAGTCAGTTCATCACTCATTGTTCCTGCTGCTGCTCAGGAAGAGGAGTCCTTCCCCTGCTCCAGTGTGGGGTTCCTCTCATAGGTAACATTCCTCTGGGAACTTCTCCAACGTGAGTCCATCCCATGGGCAACAGTTCCCCCCAGACTGCCATGTGGGTCACTCTTCCATGGGGTGCAGTCCTTCAGGCTCAGCTTGCTTGAGTGTGAGTCCCCTGGGTTGACAACCTTCTCTTGGGCATCCGTCTGCTCCAGTTTGGGTCTCCTCCATGGGCTGCAGGTGGATCTCTGCATCCCCGTGGTTCTTCATGGGCTGCAGGGGAATCTCAGCTCCAGCACTTCTTGCCCCTTCTCCACCTTGGTGTCTGCAGAGCTGTTCCTCTCACATATTCTCACCCTGCTCTTCTCTGGCCACAATTACATCTGTGCAATGAGTTTTTTTTCTTAAATATATTATCAAAGAGGTGTTGCCACCACTCCTGATTGACTCGGGCTTGGTGAGCAGCAGGTCCATCCTGGAGCCACCTGGCACTGGCTCTCCAGGACATGGGGGAAGCTTCTGGCAGCTTCTCACAGAAGTCACCCTTGTAGCTCCCTCTGCTACCAAAACCTGATCACACAAACCCAATATAGTTTCCCAGAGAAGCTGTGGATGCCCCATGCTTGGAAGTGTTCAAGGCAAGTTTGGGTGGAGCTCTGAGCAACCTGGTCTAGTGAGAGGTGCCCCTGCCCATGAGGTCCCTTTCAACTCAGGCCATTCTATGATTCTGTGATGAAGCCTGGTTTTCTTATGGGGAGCTTGGAAATCATTCCTCTAAGTCAGAAAACAAAGAATCAAAACAAAGTAAACAAACAATCTCCACTGACAGCAAGTGGAGATTGTTCTGTACCCGCTGATTGAAAAGGTCTCTGATTAGTGTAGCTAGAGGTTCTGGCAGAAAGGTCATTTTAAAACACCCTTAATCCTTAAATTTGTGCTAGAGAGCTGTGATTTTATAAGGACAGCATTGCTGATACAGTGCACTGGCATCTGTATGCTGACAAAGAATTCAGTATAAGTGATATGCTCTTAGTAACTTAGTATTTTACTGTGTCTGCTGGGTAATTGGCTCTGGTGGATTGGTGATGGAATTTTAATTCTTTAATTTTATTTAAAAAAAATACAGCTGAATTTCTTTTGTGTTGTGCTTTGTAAGCTGTTAAATCATAGAAAAAAAATGTAGGTTTTAGATTTGCTAAGTATGGCTTTTAACTTTCTGCAGCTGTGTGGCCATCTAAGAAAAAATGCTCTTACTAGTATTAAAATAGCCAGTGGAGCTCACTACCTTCCACTTGGTAATATATGTGTGGGTTTGGTTTGTTTGGGGCTTTTTAAGATTTGTATTTATTGGATTATTTTCTTGCAATATAGTTTGAAGAACCTTGTTCATAGCAATGTTTTAGTGATCTGTCTGGTGTGGCATAAAATTCAGTATAAAAGATCCAGCACCAAAACCCTTGAATACATTGTCCACTTGTAATTTTATGTACTGAAATGCTTCTTCTGTCATCATATGGTGGTCATCTAATAAGGAGTACAAATTTCAGGGCTTTTATTCCCCCCAGTGGATAATGTCTAAAATGCAAAGTTACTGTTTAAACCCTCCTTAAAGCTGTAGAGTTAAATGACAGATTTCTTAAGAACAACAGACAGTATAGGCTGGATAGGCCAATATAAGTTTTACATTTGTGTTTGAGCTTCATTGAAGCTTCACTTATTGATTTGTCATTAAGTATTGTTGGGTAATGTATTTAAATGTCAGGCAGCGTTATTAGTTACTTCACAAAGCATGGTAAGATCTTGAAGGAAACTATTAGCATTTTGCTGTCCCAGGATTTGGTGTCTTTGTGTGAGTCACTGCATACCAGATGGGATACTGAATGACCTCTGAGTCTTCAGAATGATTCATCAACAAGTACTTCACCTGTCTTCCAGACTAAAAAATATGTTCTTATTCTTTCTTTTTTGGACTTAGAAAAGTTTTAGGCCATCTTTTTCAAAACCAAAGCCCTACTTGAAGGAAAAGTTGCGATATTTGCTTCCTGTAGATTTAGTCTGTTCTCCTACATCTAGGGTTGAGGTATCCAGCTATTTTGACTACTGTTACAGCATCTATCCCCTTCACTTAATTCCCCATCACCTTGGAAGTGTTTTACCACTGTGGTGAGCCATCATAATGCTGAGTTTTGCTAAATATGCTGCTGGAAGATAAATTGATATAAAATATAGCTCAGTGTCTTAGAACTTCTGGTCCAAATCAGTCTTAGCCACAGCTGTTCTAATAATGAAAAGTATTATTTCAGTTTATAGTATGTAATGTTAAGAGGAATAGAAGGAGGACCATTACAGCTTGCTTTTTTTGTATTAAAGTTTTGGGGATATTCTTCACCATTCTTACATATGGAAATGAGGCTAACAATAAAGAGGAGAGCCAGAGGCTACTGAGACATGGATATGGAGAGAAAATGCAGTGGACGCAAAGCTACATTAATTAAATATGTTCTCAGTGTGATTAAGGGGAAAAAATGAGGCAGGGGAGGAGACTGAGATAGGATAAAAAGACAAGGGAAATAACATAGGGAAGAAGGACCACTCAAAATCAAATTATGTATTAAACCCAAAATCTTTGTATATAAAATTTCATGATTAAGTAGCTATTAGTCATCATGAACCTTGAGGCACTTTTAAAGAAACATGCATTCTGTTTGGTGACATGAGGTTAATTCCTAGAAAAAAATCCCAACAAGATAAATTTTTCTCCTGTATGACTGTAAAATTTCAAGAGTATCTTTTTCTTCTGGATTCTTAAAGCAACATCTTTTCAGATTACCTTGAATTTTCATGTGTGTATGAGATGTAGGGTTCTAAATGAATGTTCTGAACCAACTCTAAACTAGTTGAGCAAATTATGTGTGCATGGAAAGCGTTAATGTGGGAGCGTATTAAATTGCTTAATGTAGAGAAGTGTGCACAACATAGTAATAATGTGTTGTGTTTTTTTTCCTGCAGATGCCCTCCTCGAACTTTTTTGCCAGCACTGTGCAAAATTTTTCTTGATGAAAGTGCTCCAGACAATGTACTGGAAGTAACAGCTCGTGCCATAACTTATTACCTGGATGTATCGGCTGAATGTACCCGTAGGATTGTGGGAGTGGATGGAGCTATCAAAGCACTTTGTAATCGTTTAGTGGTTGTTGAACTTAACAACAGAACGAGCAGAGATTTGGCTGAGCAATGTGTGAAGGTAAGTATACTTGAGAACCTCTTGTTTTTAAGAAGGAGTTGGATAATTTGCTATTTCCAAAGAGTATCCTCATATTCCAATCCTTTTTTTTATTAAAATGTGATTTAAAATATAGATTATGAATAAAGTGTACATGCTGACACTGCTGCTTATCCTTACTGTCAGTCTGGTGCTCTTCACAGCTCAATTTTTTTAAAGAAATGTATAGAAAAGGAAACAAAAAATATTAGAAGGAATTTCTTGTTTGTCTTCTGTGACTAGAATGCTAATGGAATGCCAAGGGCTATTTTTATGCTACCAAAGAAATGAAGAATTGCTCCAGATACTGATGGATTATCTGGTGTAAAGTAATTTTCTACTACCTCTTCGATAGCACTAGATACAGCTCCCCTGCACCCTTGTGAAGTTTTTAGAGAAATTTAGAAGACCTTACAATCTCTCATTTAAAGCATAACTCATGGCCATGTGGTAGCATATAGTTGGAGTTCTTGATTACCATGGCATCAGAATTTATGCAAGTATTTTCTATTTACTGTATCCAGTCAACTCAGAAATGCATCACTGGGGTAATGGTGCTCTTACAAGTTTCAAAACTTTCAGTTGTGTGTTTCTCCCAGGATGAGAATTTATTATCTACTTTCATGAACACTTGTTATGACCATGCCTTTGGGGAATGTTCTTGTATTGGCTCCCATGTTTTTGAAGAAAGCTGTAACTGCTAACTACTAGAGTACTTGAGGCTTTGGCCTCTTTTGGATGTTGAGGAAGAGGGTTGTGGTTTTTTTCCTTATTGTTTAATTTTCTTAACCAGTTCTGTAGATGGATATGAGTATATGGATATAAATAACTGACTTTTTGTGTGTAGTTTATTAAAATTAAATTTCTTTTTGGCATAGGTGTTAGAATTAATCTGTACACGTGAGTCAGGAGCTGTGTTTGAAGCTGGAGGGTTGAACTGTGTTCTGACATTCATTCGTGACAGTGGACACCTTGTTCATAAAGATACTTTGCATTCAGCTATGGCTGTAGTATCCAGACTCTGTGGCAAAATGGAACCTCAGGATTCTTCATTAGAGATCTGTGTGGAATCACTGTCTAGTCTATTGAAACATGAAGACCATCAGGTAATGTAATAGTTTGCTCAATGTGCTGTGAATTTAACTTTCAGTATGTTTAATAAAGGAATGACTAGGTAACTTTATACAGCCTCCCTAATGGTATGTTTAGATAGGAGTTGTTATATTTGGGTGTTATGATAGTTTCCTTTATAGTTGTAATGATAAGAGAATAAAAAACACTCCTTAGTGTTTGGCTCCAAGTGCTGATGTTTGAATATAATCTTATTTAACCTCTGAAAACTGTATTGAAAAATATCTTGTAACTTTTTTCAATGCATTTTGAGACAGTTTCTGAAGTAGTTATTGTTCTTTGACTGTACCTCAGTCATTATGAAATTGAGCATAAGTAAGAGGTAAAAATTAATTTGGTTTGTGTTTCTTTTGCCAAACTAAGAGAAGCAATAAGAACATCCATAGTCAGTGCGAAAGTACTACACTGGAAGCCAGCTTAAATGATACTAGTAGAAATGCTGTTCCACTTCTTTATTTCAGTTTTAACTTACTTCATCTCAAGCCTCTAACATGAGCTGAATAGTCCTTGTAAAAAATGAATCCCAGAGGAATTATCTTTCTACTAGTAGAATGCCTTTGTGGATGTCATATGGAATAGCCATTTAATAGCCATTTAACCAAATTCTTGCTATAGCCTGGCCAGGCTTCTTGTCCAGACTCAGAACTGAGTCCCCATTTTACTCTGACCTCTGTCCTCATTCCTTTCTCTACATGCACAGATCCAGCCTCCAGTCTGGTTTATTAAGCACAGCATATTTGGGAAACTAAATCTCTCTGCCTGTGAGATAATTTTTTAAAATATATTTTTAGATCTTGAAAATTTTCAGGCGGCTGTCATACACTAGGCATTTCAGAACAAGCTATCTTGTTTTTAGCCATTAAATAATCTTATTAGTACTCTAATCATCTGAGGCAAGGTAATCTTGAAATTCAGACCATTAAGTCTGTACTATTTTAACTGTTCCCCAATTTATAAGGTGTTAGAGAAAAGCACTTGCTGGGGTTGTTGGAGATCTGAATGAGAGTTCAAATTAACTTAATTGTTCGGCAGTTAAGCTTAGAGATAAGCATGCTTACGATGGGACCCAGATGATAGAAAATATATCTGTACTGGTATCCTTGAGAAATAGGTTACTCATGAAACAAGCCTCAGGATTACAGTGGATGTTGGATGTGTATTATGGATTTTCCAGTAATGTCCCTCTTCAAGTTTGTTGCTCCCTACCATGTCCTTTTACACTGCTGGGTTTGGTCACTTTTTGTGTAGGCTGCCAGTTAGTAACACCACTTGATGGATAAGTTCAGGCCAGATGAATGTGGCCCCAAGAGCAGTTTATCTATGATTTTGGGTTTTTAGCCTTTGTTACACTTGCAATTTGGGAGAAGAAATGTAAATACTTTCCAAGTACTCATTCGCTTTGTGAGTACATTCCAAGTAGTCTTTTACTGATGCCACTAGTGCAGTGTGTTAACAAGTGATCTTTTTTGTGTATTTCTGGCAGCTGTTAAGGTACAGATCTATTGAGTACTTGCAATTTACATTAAGATTAGCAGAATTGCTTATCTGTGTTGTCTAAGAACTGGAGCAAGATGCCAGAGGACGAAAACAGTGACCCTTGCACATGAAAGAAAAAATTCAAAAGAGTACTGATAATGCAGAATGTTTGGCATGTACAGACCATACCAGAAGTCAGGAAACTTAATGGAGATTTAAGATTTTTGTCTTCCTGAAGTCTGGCTAATACTCTAATCTTGTTCTGTGTGTTGATGAGTGACTGCCTTGAAGTCCTTGGTCTGTGATAGCAGACAGTTGTTTTGAAAATAGACTGTGAGTTGACATTTTGGGGAGTAAGAACTATAGCAATTCAGAATTTGATTAGAGAATAGGTATTGTGGGGCTTTTTCTACTATTTCTTGACATCAGTCTGGTTTGCTACTGCACAACTTTAAAGGCAAATGTGCCTGAAGCAAGTTATCTCGATAGGCTGGTGCAAACCTCTTGATCTGAAACACTGAGACACTTCTAGTGTATAGATAGAGAGATGTTAAAGGCAAAATCTTCCTTTATTTTTAGTATTGACATGAAAAGATGTTGGGTCCTTTCCTGGGCAGTTGGCCAGCAGTATTTTTTGCTGAATTGTTAAGAGGATCACCAGTAAGCTGTGTTTCCACAGTGTCACTGGAGTTTTTAGTGTGCAGTTGGTTGGTTGGATTTTTTTCCTTCCTTTAGTAGCAATCCTAAATTTGGAGGTTTGTATTTTATTATCACAAAAATTCTTGCATGTCACTGTGTCAGGTGCACAGTGGATAATCTGCCTTATCCAAGAGCAAAATTTCCTTTTCCCACTTTGTCCTATTTTTAGGCTTAGTCGAATTGAAAACTTTATTGTGCTTAAGAGAAACATGTAGACCTTTAAATATAACTTGAATGATCAAGCTTCATGGGAAAATCAAGTTCTTGTATGTGGTCTGTATTCTTGTGGCTATCCTGTTAGCACCTTCTCACCTTAAGTAAAAGAGATTTCATCGGTTTTTCTTGCACATCTTTCTTAGGTTTCAGATGGAGCTTTGAGATGCTTTGCTTCATTAGCTGACAGATTCACAAGGCGTGGAGTTGACCCAGCCCCATTAGCTAAACATGGATTAACTGAGGAGTTGTTATCTCGCATGGCAGCTGCTGGTGGGACTGCCTCAGGACCATCTTCAGCTTGCAAACCTGGACGGAGTAGCACTGGAGCACCATCTACAGCTGCAGACTCTAAATTAAGTAATCAGGTGTCAACTATTGTAAGCCTGTTGTCAACCCTGTGTAGAGGCTCTCCAGTAGTAACACATGTAAGAAATCCTTTTATGCTATAGCTTTTTGTTCTCATGGGACTTTTCCCTTTGTATAGTTCAATATATGCAAGATCTATGTTGGTATTTTATAGATATACATATAAATATTTATAGATCATATTTTTAATAGATATACATATATATATACACACACATATGTGCACACATATATACATGTAAGTTGCTTTTAAAGAGGGGGAAAAAGGAAACATTTCATATGGAAATGAAACCCAATTCTGATAGTATTTTCTAAAGCCCTGTATATTTTTTATTGTTCAGACTTTTAATTATTTCCAGGATCTCCTAAGATCTGAACTTCCAGATTCTATAGAAAGTGCGTTGCAGGGTGACGAGCGATGTGTGCTGGATACCATGCGGTTAGTAGATCTTCTTTTGGTGCTACTGTTCGAAGGCAGAAAAGCCCTGCCAAAATCTAGTGCTGGATCTACAGGCAGAATCCCGGGATTGCGGAGACTGGATAGTTCTGGAGAACGTTCTCATCGGCAACTGATAGATTGCATCCGCAGTAAGGATACTGATGCACTGATAGATGCAATTGACACAGGAGGTAAGCAAAAATACTCCAAAAAAGAAATGAAATGCTTGTTTTGGCTTTAATTTTTGTAGCCTGAGTTGTCAGAACAAATGCTGAGGTAGTTAATTGAAAATCATTATGTACATGTTGGCTTACTTTGTTAAATACTTAACAGTGTTGTTAGTAATCACACCTATGCCACCTTTTTACTGCTATTCAGAGCATAAATGCTCCCCAGAATGACTGATGATGCTTAATTTTTTAAGACCTTTTTATTTAAAGAATACTGTTGAACTTTATGGTTATGGGAACTTTAACTATTTTATTTAATTTTATCTTTCAGCTTTTGAAGTAAATTTTATGGATGATGTAGGACAAACTCTTTTAAACTGGGCCTCAGCTTTTGGAACTCAGGAAATGGTAAATTAGATTTATATTCCCTTAAGAAGTTGCATTATTTATGTAAAGGAAGATAAAAAAGATTGGTTTCCTTTTTCTTATCTAACAGGTAGAATTCCTCTGTGAAAGGGGCGCTGATGTTAACAGAGGTCAGAGGTCATCCTCATTACATTATGCAGCATGTTTTGGAAGACCTCAGGTAGCAAAGGTATGATTTAAGCTGACTCTTAAAAACCATTACCTGCTGACTTTTCATCTTGCTCTATTCAAAATATCTTCAATGCAATATGCTGGACACATGCACTCTTAAATATTTACATGTTCTTTATAGTATTTATCAAAACACAGATTTTTCATTATAGGGCAGTAGGGCAGTAATGAATAAAAGTAGTTTATATTGGCTCTACAGATATAAAAAGCACAGAATACTTACAAACATGAGAACACTGTAGGAGTGATGTATGAAAAGCACATTTGCTACTTTGGAAGAAGAAATGCAATTTTTTTTCATACATAAAAATATTTATTCTTAGACTCTCTTACGACATGGTGCAAATCCTGATTTGAGAGATGAAGATGGGAAAACTCCTCTGGACAAAGCTAGGGAAAGAGGGCACAGTGAAGTAGTAGCTATTCTTCAGTCTCCAGGTGAGTCCAATAACCCTTCCTATAGTAGAAATGCTGATATGTGTTAAGTTAAGCAGTTATAATAATTTTACTCTATTAAGGTTATTTAAAGAAAATAAATTGTGACTTACCTTCCTTAACTCATAAAGTATCCACAAAAACATTAGTATTTTAAGATGATGTTAAGTGAGGGGAATTACCAAAGAAATAACTGAGCAGGCATGAACTGTGCCACTTGTCCTGCTCTTCAGCTGTGGGATCAGGCTAGGCTGGGATTTTGTTGTGGATTCAGAGCTTGTCAGCCTTGGTAGCTTCTCTGGTATCCTTTCTGTGTGGGAACTGCACTTTCCCTGTTCCTGAGAATTCTGGTGCCACAGGTGATACTTGCTATTAAATACTTTTATTCAAGAAGTCATGCACATGTAAATTTTCTACTTTTAGGAATGCACGTTCATGTTCAGGTCCTTGGATGTTAGTAAAGAAAACTTGGATGTTTAGAAGGGGATTTTTTTTGATTTGTTGACTTTTGCAATTGAATGTCTTGGGGGAAAAAAAATTTTCCAGGGGATTGGATGTGTCCTGTCAACAAAGGGGATGAGAAGAAAAAGAAAGATGCAAACAAGGATGAGGAAGAATGCAATGAACCCAAAGGAGATCCAGAAATGGCACCCATATACTTGAAAAGACTATTGCCTGTGTTTGCACAAACATTTCAACAAACTATGTTGCCTTCAATAAGGTAATATTATCATGAGGGACAGTTTCTTAATACGTGCTTAGAAAAGCCAAAGTAAATTTAAAAGTTTAAGTAATGCTCGTGTCAATACGTATTTGAATAGAAGTGATTGTTTGGGAAGTGTTGCAAGAGTGATTTTTACTTAGCACTTTAAGCAAAATTTTTTCCTTTCTGGTGAAGTGATGTGTTGGAAAAAGCCTGGTTAGTCATGGGAGAGCAGAGCATACTCTTGACTGTGGCAGCATGATGAAAGAATGCTATGTTCATACAGTATGTTGTGTACACTGTGCATCAGGATTTGGTTACAGTTGTTTGTAGCCACTGTAATGAAAGCTGTAATTTAGTAGAGGAAAACTAATAAAATAATGTCAAGATGCATTCATTGGAAAATCAGCAAGACTAGAAAAAGCTGTTTTAGGTTTTAGGAGACTTACTTAGCAGTGTATTAACTGGACAAGATGCTGCTTCTAATTCTGTTGAATTGCAGAAATGTTAATCTAATTTATTACTTCAAAGGGAATACTGTGCATGGCATAATGCTTGTGATAAGTTGCATCTGATCATAACCTTTTAGCCCTTTATATTACAAATATGACATTGATTCCAATCTCTTATGTTCCCAGTGTTTTATAGGTACTTTGGGTGAAAATGCAAGATAAAAAGGCCTCTAGTAGAGACAGACTTCACTTGAGCTGATGATAGAAAGCTTAAACTAGGTTATTTTAAATAAAAGAAATAAGAAACTATATTAACAATCTGTGTGATTAATTGTTGTTGCAGATTGTGCGAAGTAGTTGGCTCTCTACTAGAAAGTTACTTTAATGAATCATACTTTTGGAAGTTGGTAAAAAAAATAATCTTTATCCCTACAGGAGTGATTTCCTTTCATATTAATTATAGTTCTTAGGGTGGAAAACTGCATAATCTAATAGCTTGTTTAGAGTTAAAAGATAAAGGGATCTCAAAATATGGGAAATACCTGAAAGGCTGAATACCTCTGAGGGTGACAAGGTGTGCAGAAGTCAATTGCCAGCACTAAAAGTGGGTAAAGACAGGACGTAGAATAGGTTTACTTAATAAAGGGTTGAGGAGAAAAGTGTATGTCAGACTGATAGTGCTATAAAATCAAAAAATACCAAAGGTGCATTATTCTTAAAGATAATCCAGAACTTAGTAAGAGTAATACAAGAACTGAAACAGATTAAATTTCTTGTGTTTTGAAAACATGCATAAATAGCGTACAAAAGAAGTCTTATCTTGAACCTTTTTGCTTGCTTTATCACTGTAAGAACCTTTTTTCTCTATGATCTTTTACAGGAAAGCAAGTCTTGCACTCATTAGAAAAATGATACATTTTTGTTCTGAGGCGCTCCTGAAAGAGGTTTGTGACTCTGATGCTGGCCATAACCTGCCCACAATACTGGTTGAGATAACAGCTACAGTGCTTGATCAAGAGGTAGGAAGAATGAAAATGTTATCCTTTGTGAAACTAGTACAGAAAAAGGATTTACACTAATTGATTCCACGTATTTGTTAATAACTAACCCTAAAAATTTTACAGAGTTCATCTGTGACCACATATGCAGTTTAGTGTGTAAAGTAACAAGATCTCCTTTGTTATTTTCTTTTCATCCCAATGTTTTACAGGATGATGATGATGGCCATTTGTTAGCCTTGCAAATCATAAGGGATTTAGTGGATAAAGGTGGTGATCTTTTTCTAGACCAACTGGCTAGACTTGGTGTAATTAGTAAAGTGTCAACTTTGGCGGGGCCATCATCTGATGATGAAAATGAAGAGGAGTCTAAACCTGAGAAGGTAAGTGTATGGAATTGATTTATTTGATTTATTTGTTACTGTAAAACTGACACTTCCAATGAAATGTTTATTGTTACAAAAATGGCCAGGGCTAGCGAATTAGGATATTAAATTAATGCTTATTTTATACCACTTGTTTTAATAATTTTCTTCTCTACCTTCATTTTCTATTGGCATATTATTATCTGCTGAGTTTTCCTATTCATGCTTCCCTGTGATCAAGTTATTTCGTGCTTGATTTTGCCTAGTGTTAGGAAAGTGACTGGTAAACAAAATGAATCCTTCCTAAAGTATTTGTGTCAGAAGTGTATCTCTGTTGATGTCCATGCATTAAATAGTTTGAGATGTTTTAAATGTTGTTATCAAATATGTTAAATATATAAAAAAGAAAATAATTTTCTGCTTCATGAAAGCTGTGCGTATTGAAGTTATTTATCAGTTTTCAAGTCTTATTGCCAGTCAGATGAACTGAATGGATAACAGACTTTTTCTGTTACCAATTCAATTAAATTTATAGCTAAATCTTAAGTGTGTATTTCAACTTCTTTACTGTGGGGTTTGGGTTGTCTGGGATTTCTTGGGGGGGTGCTGGTTTTGTATTTTGGTGGTTAGATGTTAAAAGTCATATGGACATGGTCCTAGATAACCAGTCATATGTGGCCCTGCCTGAGCAGGGGTTTGGACTAGATGGCCTCCAGAGATTTCTTCCAACCTCAATCATTTTGTGCTTCTTTTCTCACAATTCAAGTTTTGAACAGAGGCGGATGTTGCAGGCAGTAGGCCATTGCTATTGTTGAGTAGATAAAGCTGTATGTGAAAGGAAACTTCTTAGAAGTATCTTATTCTATTAAAGAATACTTTTAAGGATATGTTTTACGGGCAGAAGTAGTATAGTTCCTACACTTTTGGATTGAATAAGTCTTCTCTCCTAAAGAGAGAGAATCTCCTCCTCTAAAAAATGTCTGTGTTTGTTTGTTTGTGGGGGTTTTTCTTATTTGTTTGTTTGGGGTTTTTTTCCCTCTTCTTTAAATGGATTGGCGATTTTTTTTGGTTCTTGTTATTGCTTAATACAATGTTATTGCAGGAGGATGAACCACAGGAGGATGCTAAAGAGCTGCAGCAGGGTAAACCCTACCACTGGAGAGACTGGTCAATCATTAGGGGAAGGGACTGCCTGTATATCTGGAGTGATGCTGCAGCCCTGGAGCTATCTAATGGTAGTAATGGATGGTTCAGATTTATCTTGGATGGAAAGCTGGCCACAATGTATTCCAGTGGGAGCCCTGAAGGAGGATCTGACAGCTCAGGTAGACTTTTTGTAATTCAAGTCCAGGTTAAGTTTTGAGACTGTTACATTTGTTTATATAATTTGATTTGAGCTATTTTGTTTTGCAGGAATTGGCTTACTAAATAGTAAAGGATGTAAACAGGTGGAAGGTGGTCAGTTAATTGTGATGCATTTTATCAGATAGCATGTGTCCATAACTTGACTTTCTTGGTGAATTGTGTTAAGTAAACATCTTGCCAGCAAAAGCGTATTAACTTTTTGTTTTGATTCTTCTCCATGCGTACTTAATTTTTTCACCCCAGTCATTAAAAGCACTTTGTAGTGGCCATCCCAGGAAAAGCAGGTTGAAATGGTGATTTGTTGTTTGCTTCTAGCTAGCAGAATGAATTTGCATGTGTTTGAAGACAAAGTAATGGAAAGTTTCTCATCGAGATTGGGAAACAAATTACAGTGTCTTAATTGTTTGTTGGAGAGAGGATAAGGGAACAGACCTTATGCACTGGCAATGCACAGCTGGTTCTGATTTTCTGTACAGAATACACAACTTGTTCTGGATGCAGAAACAACCCTCCTTTTATTGTTTCATCTTTTTTTTTGCAGCAGTTCATGCATTTATGAACCTGCAGGCATAAAATGCTTTGCAATATTATGATGTTTTCAATGAGCTGTTGACTGAAATAACAGAACATATTATGATTCAGGATGGAAATGAAGTGCTAATGACTTCATGCATCAAGTTTGGGGCAAGAAGACAAAATGCAATATAATGTTTTTGATCATAATGCAGCTGGAAACCACTTATAGGTTTATTGGTTTTTTTGGTCAGAAAATGTGACTTTGCATTCTTTTTAATAAGGTTAATGCCTTTAAAGGTAAATAAGTCCTGTGTTGAGATACTTGTTTATCATACAGTACAGTTTTAAGATTCATGAAGATAATTTCTTAAATTCTCATACAATTCTTAAATTCTCATTTGGCATTCCCTGGATGCTGAATTTTTTGGTTTTCACTTCCCAATCGTCAAGGCAAGGGGATGAGACTATTTCTGTATAAGATGAGTGGAATGGTGAGAGCTCAGATGCATTTGGAGTGAAGAGAACTTAGAGGAAGTCAGTTTGAGCATTTAAGATGTGACTTCAAATCAGTCTTTCAAAAAAGATTGCATAAATCCAAAGTTTTTTAACAAGATACCTAGTCTGAATATCATGAGGGAAAGGAGCTAAATGTAGGATTAAATGAGGCTTCTTAAAATATGTACTCAAATAGACATCTACTAAGATTGCTGATGTTGCAGTGTAATTTGCCTGAACTTTAACCATGAGCTCTAAGCATGTGCAGCAGCCTTTTTTACTTAAAAAATTAATATTTGTTAACTAAAATGACTACAGTACAGTATAGGCTAGAATGGTATCAAGTCCTGAACTGTACTATATGTTCTGCTGTCCTAAATCATTACTGATCAATCTTGTGGTATACTTTTTAGTAACTTCCCAACTGGCAAGAGTATAGAGGGTTGAGTAGTGACATCTGTTAGTGTGTATTGCATGATGAAAGTTGGGGTGGATGGTCAAATATATATACTGTGAACATTTTGGAAGGTCTGTACTCACCCCTCTCCACATTAACTCTGTACTTGTTTTGTTTGAATTTGTAGAAAAAAAATTCAATGCAAAAATTGAAATTTAATGGTAATTCTGAAGCTTTTAGTAAGTCTCAAAGTTTTGTCCAAGGGAACCTGAATTTATTCCCAACCATGTAGAAATATAGTACTTTCAGTGCAATGTGCTATATAATAAATGTATTAAAATGTAATTATGGAAATCTGAAAACATTTAATTAACAGAATTTTCATCTTGCATATCAAATCTCAATTACTTTTATAAGCCTTTTCTGTATATGCTATGAAATTTAAGCAGTAAAGAATGTTGTGCCTCGAGTGCATATTTGTTTTTGCATTATTTTGTGTTATAACAAAAGGGCATATTTAAAAAGCCTAGAGCTTGTCATTGCAGCAAAAGGCAAACAGAAATAATCTTTAATGAGGTGCTTCCATTTTTACTTTAAATGGAATTTTTGAAGTTATGTACTTAGCATTTTAATGATTAAAATACAAATATATAATTTAATTAAATTTTTCATTAATGATATTATGATATTTTAAAAATTTCTTATTTCTGAAAACCCACTTTCGAGAATAGTTCATGCTCACCATTCTGAGACCCATTTTCAAAGACTAAAAATTTATTCTGAATTTCTTTGATCTTCCTATTATAATTGTAACAATGAATTAATACATTTCAATTGCATCTCTCAGAAGGAGTTGCATTGTTGCATTGCAGCTTTGATGTGATCGTAGAATAAATCACTGTTGAAGTACAGAAATATGCTACACAGAAATTTAGGACACTTTAAGACCCTTAATTTCAAAGTTAATTTTGCATTGAATGTACTCAGTTGTTTTGCTCTTGAAAAAAATTCTGCATAACGATGGAAGCAATTGTTGGAAAAAACCAAATTTGTTTCTTTTTAAATAGAAAGTAGGAGTGAGTTCCTTGAGAAGTTGCAGAGGGCTCGAAGCCAAGTAAAACCATCTACCACAAGCCAGCCAATTTTATCAACACCAGGGCCAACTAAACTTACTGTAGGAAACTGGTCACTGACCTGTTTAAAGGAAGGAGAAATTGCTATTCACAATTCTGATGGTCAGCAAGCTACAATACTGAAAGAAGACCTGCCAGGCTTTGTGTTTGAATCCAACAGAGGAACAAAGCATTCGTTTACAGCTGAAACTTCCTTGGGTAAGTATGTAGGTATGTGTTATGTGCAGGTAGGAACAAGTGTATGTGAGAGAGTTTTATTTGTTGCTTTTCACAGCTATGAGAAAATGCAACTTTTCTAAAATATATGTTGCAGGGTCAGAATTTGTGACTGGCTGGACAGGTAAAAGAGGAAGAAAACTGAAATCTAAACTGGAGAAGACAAAACAAAAGGTTGGTGATCTGTAAATTTTATATTTAGAATTTAATTGAGCTTGTTTTGTATTATAATATTCTTAGGGAGGTGTGGTTTCCTCTTAGAAGATTAAAATCTCTGATTTCAACGAGATACAATTTTTTGTGAGGCTTGAAGGGGAAAGCATCAACCAGAACAAAGCACTTTGGGTGATTTTATCCAAAAGTCTTAGTAAACTGTGTGCTCCTTTAGAGGAAAATGAATTAAAACCAAAAAAAAGTAGGAAAATTCAGTCTTCCTGACTTGCATTAATTCTTTAGGTTTTGTGGTTTGCTTTTTATGTCTTTATGCTACAAGAGAAGATATTAAAATCAATACTACAGTTGTGCCAGAGGCATATAATGCTTCTCTTCTTCTAAGTACTAATTTCAGACTGGATTTTGTGACAGGGTGCTGGAAGTAACAGTCTACATGGCTAAGAGTTGTGGTAGTGAAGCAGCAAAATGAGTAAAGGCCCTCATTTTAGATAAATTTAAAATTCTTCTTTCTCCTCAAAATGAAGGGGAAAAAGGAGGAACTAAGAAATCAAGTATTAAGCTCTTTACAAAAAAACCACAAAATAACAGTACATTTTGTGATCCGCTTATGCCAAGGGCTCAGGCTAATCTTTAGTCTTTATCTGTCTTGCAGTTTCTAACAGTGCAGCCAATATATCCTGTACCTTATATCTGCAGCATTTTAGGACATATATCTTAGGAAATGTGACACTAAATTGAAAGCTGAAATACTGTGTGTGAATGGTAATATGTGGGATGATAAAAGAAAGACAGTGTTCTCTTATACCTAAGATTGTACTGTGTAGTTCTGAAGCTTATGTAATGTATTATTGTAGCACATAGAATGATAATAAAAATGAAAGATTTCTGGGGAAATTTCTTACAAAAGAAAGATGTTGTTTAATCAGAACTAACTCAATCTGTATCTTGTGTGAACCATACTTTGTAGTAAGAGTAATTTTTACTAAAAGAGGTTGTATAGGGACTTAGTGTGAATTGGTTTAAGGAATGTTGATAGAGCATTCAGAAACTGTATTAAACCTGCTTAGGTGTACATTTAAAAATATTACCTGATCCATGATACGGTTCTAAAAGAAAGATTGACAGATTGAGAATCATACCTTTTCCTACTACCCTTTATGCTGTAACCTAATACATGATGGTAAGTTTCATTTCTGTCAATAAGATTTTGTGTATTTCCATTTATTTCTCCTGTACCTTTTTCTTTTCACAACCGTAGCATTTTGTGATGCACATGCGTTTTTATTCTTCCCTATTTGTCTGCCTGTTGGACATAAAAATAATGACCAAGGTTGTGGTATCTGGGAGTGTAGTAATGATCTCATGACAGTAAGGTCTGACTTCTGATTATCAAAATCCATTTGTAGGTGCGCACTATGGCAAGAGATTTGTATGATGATCATTTTAAAGCTGTTGAAAGTATGCCTCGAGGAGTAGTTGTAACACTGAGGAACATAGCAACACAGTTAGAGTCTGCATGGGAACTTCATGCAAACAGGCAGGTAAGTGTATCTCCTTTATTTTTTATGTGTGACATCAGTGGAAATCAGATAATGTTCAGACTAGTCTGTCATGATGTGACGCAGAGTCATGAAGCAGAGATAGCATGTCTGACATGTGGGGAGTTTTAATGCATGTATTACCTAGTTAGGTACTTTCCTAGGATGTGATTTTTCAACTGAAGCTAGTGGACAGATTACTTTGTTTCATGATAATGATCTTTTTGTATTTCAGTGCATTGAGGGAGAAAATACATGGAGAGATTTAATGAAGACTGCTCTGGAAAACTTAATTGTACTGTTGAAGGATGAGAATACTATTTCTCCATATGAAATGTGCAGCAGTGGCTTAGTTCAATCGCTGCTGACAGTTTTAAACAATGTAAGTTTATAGACATAAGTGTTTAAAGAAAAACTTCCTAACAAAATGAAGTTAAGGCATGTGCATAATGTAAAAGATCTGTCATAAATTTGTCTTTTTCTGGTCTTGGTGAAAATTTGGCAGACTTGCTTCCGTTACTGGTCTACCTATTGAAAATAAGAGAGTAGATGACTAGTTTGAATGAAAATAAATCAGCTCTGTTCAGGTCTAATGGCTGGTGATTAGCTTTGGGATTGGGATTTCAGTGAGACTACATAGATGTCTTTGCCTGTCTGTAACTTGGTTTTTTTTTCCTCCTAGAATGTTGATTTGGATGTGAAACAAGACTGTAGTCAACTGGTAGAGAGGATAAACGTTTTCAAAACAGCATTCAGCGAAAATGAGGATGATGAAAGGTAAAAATAATACCAAAACAGGAAAATCCTCTTTGAAATTTTGAAGCAGTATGGTATGTTTAAAATAATTTAAAGAAAAATTACCTGTTCTTTCCATTTCAATGGAATAGAAAATTGATCTTGAAAGACAGCACCTAATATTGAAGTAGAAATTGAAAGTTTTTGTCTCTAAGAGTCAACCCATAGAACATTGTTGACAAAATGAAGGTGACTTGTTCATCACTGTGCAGATTTGTATCTTTCTCACTGTGCTGTAACCATGTGACTAGAACAGATACCATCAGTAGAAATAGCATGCTGAGATAGTTTCCTCAGGTGGATCCTGTTTTCTGAGATACTGTAAAATTTTTTTCTTTGTTTTGTTTTGTGGTAACATAGTACCTGTTCTCTTTCACAGTCGTCCAGCAGTTGCATTAATTCGGAAGTTGATAGCAGTGTTAGAATCTATTGAACGGCTACCTCTCCACTTGTATGATACACCAGGATCTACGTACAATCTTCAGGTAATTCACAGTGACAACAGCATATCCCACTGAGTGGTGCTCAGCTGAGGGTTATATGTTGCACACCGTGTCTGCAAGAATCACATTCTTGTAGATGTGGGTAGAATTAGGTAAAGACCAACCAAATTTTGGCATCTGTTTCCTCTAGCGCTGAAATGTATGGCTGTTCCTCTACTGTCATTTAAACACTGTGAGGTAAAAGTAAATTTTGATTGAAGAGATAATGTGTTCTTTGTTTTGTCTTCAAGTATTGTCTTTATATAGGAACATGCCCTCTAGTTAAAGGGCATGTTACTGTGATTACGAGACAATTATTAGTAAGAACGGGGATAGGCTTTAAAGGGTCATGTCTATGGTTCTGTGTTGAACTGATAATGCAAGATGCCTCCAGGCTCAGCAGCTTGTTCTACAGGAAACTTGGCAGTTTGGCTAAAAATATTACTTGTTTTTTCCCAGTTTGTGTGGAGTCTTAATCTTTTCTATTTGAAAGCACAGTTCAGAGTTTTGCAACATGGGTAGGGAAGTATAAATATTTCTGGTTTGATGTTAAATGTCTAGGAAATAGTTGAAAATACTTGCAAAACCACTCTTGCTGTTCAGTATTTTTGAAAATAGTTTTCAGTTTCTATATTATTGTATTTGCTAGTCAACAAATAAAAGCTGTGAAGACATAGGAAAAGTGAGAAAATGTTACCTGAGCGTGTAATTGACTTGCACGTTGTCATAGTAAAGAATTGTTTGGATAATTGAAGGTAGTACTAGGAGATTACTTTTTAAAGCATTTCATTAGAATATAGTGCTTAAGTTAAAGCAACAACAATACATGATAGGCCACTAAAGCGGTTGTAGTGAGATACACTGTTTTTATTAAAATCCCAAAACCTAAACAGGAAAGCCTCGATGAATGTTTGGCTATTCTTTCAGATACTGACAAGGCGCTTGAGGTTTCGTTTGGAACGTGCCTCGGGGGAGACGTCTTTGATAGATCGAACTGGTAGAATGCTCAAGATGGAGCCACTGGCAACTGTTGAATCTCTAGAACAGTATCTCCTGAAAATGGTGAGCTGCATAGCACACACAGAGTTCACAGGGAATACTTATATTCTGCTTCTTTAATATTTGACTTCTTTTCTTTCATATGTAGGTAGCAAAGCAGTGGTACGACTTTGATAGGGCATCATTTGTTTTTGTACGAAAACTACGAGAAGGTCAGACATTTGTGTTCAGGCATCAACATGATTTTGATGAAAATGGAATTATTTACTGGATTGGAACAAATGCAAAGTGAGTTTTTCAAAGCTAGATGTTTTAAAGCCAGACGCAATAAACTCTAATCCATGAGGCAGGACGGGGACGAGGAATTCATAATGAAATGAAATCTGTTACTTCTTAGAAGTGGGAGATATCTTTTAATCCATAGAATTAAATTTCTTTTGGATCTGCTTAAATAATAGAAAACTTGAATCACTTGTGTTCAGGATTTGTTTTATGCTTCCCTAAGAAGATGGAGTGGGGAAGTTTGGGTCTTAGTTTTTGGTTGCCATGGTTCTGTTTGATTTTGTTCGTTTGGGTTTGGGTTTTTTTTCTTTGCTACAGTGTTTTAAAAAACACAAAATTATGCTTGAAACATATCTAAAATTATATTGATAATTTTAGTGTGATAAACTCAGCTGTTATGTGCAATTTACAGTAAATGTCAAATATCGCTCAAACTAGGTTTTTTTATTTAAGTAATAATTGAACAATATATTTCTCTTTTTAAATACAGAACTGCATATGAGTGGGTAAATCCAGCAGCCTATGGATTAGTAGTGGTTACATCCTCAGAAGGAAGAAATCTGCCTTATGGTCGTTTAGAAGACATCCTGAGCCGTGACAGTTCAGCTCTCAATTGTCACACAAATGATGATAAGAATGCTTGGTTTGCCATAGACCTTGGCCTTTGGGTTATTCCATCAGCCTACACATTACGCCATGCTCGAGGTTATGGACGATCTGCTCTCAGAAATTGGGTTTTCCAGGTATCTAAGGATGGACAGAACTGGACTACTTTGTATACTCATGTTGATGACTGTAGTCTCAATGAACCAGGGTATGTCAGTGTTTTTTATTACTTTTCATAAGACTGAGTGCAGTTAAAAATGTACTTGACTGTAGACTAATTTAGTGTGTACTGTGTTTGTAATAATGTATCTATCTAAAGCAGTGGTAAGTGACACATATTATCAAGGATGGGCTGGAGAATAAGTGATTCACAGGTTTTCTGTGTGGTTCACATAATGGTATTTGTGCTTTTTCTTCACTGTAAATTTTGCATTTTGCTTTTTAACAAAATCATAACTCCAGCACTCATCTGAAGTTTGCCCTGGTGTTAATAGGTTTATATATCTTGTAGTATGCATACATGATCGGTGTTAGGGTTTTGTTTGCTTGGGTATTAAGGTTTTTTGGTTTTGCTTTTTTCTTTATTCCTGTTACCTACCAACACCCCTTTCTAATAAACTTAAAGGTCTACAGCAACATGGCCTTTAGATCCTCCAAAAGATGAGAAGCAAGGTTGGAGACATGTTAGAATAAAACAGATGGGAAAGAATGCCAGTGGGCAAACACACTACCTCTCCCTGTCTGGATTTGAACTTTATGGCACTGTGAATGGAGTATGTGAAGATCAGCTGGGTAAGAAAAAGAAATGTATATCCTACTTGGTCTTTTAAAATGCTAATGAGCGTATCATATAAAAAAACAAGTGTGAAAAAGGAGGTTAACTTTTGCAGTTGAACTTGCTTAGAAATAAGCTCAAAATTATTCCCCATTCAATACTTTCAAGTGTTTTCAATTTACATGTCTTATAGGAAAAGCTGCTAAAGAAGCTGAAGCAAATCTGAGAAGGCAGCGACGTCTGGTCCGTTCTCAAGTGTTAAAATACATGGTTCCGGGAGCTCGTGTAATCAGAGGAATTGATTGGAAATGGAGAGATCAGGATGGAAGCCCACAGGGGGAAGGCACTGTTACAGGAGAACTGCATAATGGTGAGCATGAATTGCCTGAATTTATGTTGTTGAATCACATCTGTCACATGATGACTTCATGCAGAATGGGTAGCATTAAAGTACTTCCTTTGAAATGCCTTGATAAAGTTGATAAAAGTTCAAATACTGTGGAGGGAAGAAGCTTAAAATACTACAGCTGTTGGGGTCCATTTGGGAAATTTCATTTGAGTGCATGAAAAAAATTCTTGCTGTAAATGAAACTTTTATACAGTTTTGGTTAAAAAAATATTAAACTGTTATTCAAATATGAAACTGTTATTTAGACATCTGTTACAAACTATATGAAGGTGAGTGATGCAAAGTAATAAGTTAAGCTTTGGACCTGCAAAATCTATAATTACCTTCCTCATTTCTTCTAGCTGAGCATTTGCAATATTTTTCTTGACTTTTGTTATATCCTGTACCTTTCCTACCTTGCAAGCTTCTTTGGGATCAAGTTTTTGTTTTTGAGTTAAAGCATGAAAATTTATTAACTTAAGGAGCAAAATAAAAATCTGCAACAGCCAGGGAAGTCAGTACTGAGAAAGTTATTGAAGAGGCTCCAGGAGAGGTGGTGATCTTGTCAGCTGAACATGCTTTCCACCATTTCCCTGCTCTTCCCCCTGTTTTGAGGTATATAAGGCTTGTCTTGTTTCTGAAGCACCTTCAGCTACTTTTAGGTTCATTTTTAGCTAGACTTGAGAGTTTCTTCTAGTTAGTTGAGTTGTCAGCTCTCAAACATGGAAAAATCTCCCAAGTACAATTCCTTAAACTGAACTTTATTTAAGCTGTTCAATACAGCTTGTGGGGAAGTCTTCCATCATCCATATATTTTTCTTATCAGATGCAACAGTACCCATAGCTACATTATAACTTTGAAGACTATAGGTATTATTCGTGAGTAGTATTCTACCAAAGCAGTGATTTTATTCCTGTGTTCAAGTAAAACTTCCCCATTTAACCATAGGTAAAATTGAGGTTTGTTTATCAAATGGTGATGCCAACTCATCTCATTCCTGTGACAGCTTTTTTTCATGTAGAATTTTGAAAATAGGGTCTAATTTACTTTCTTGGTTGTTGTTCACAAGTATAGACAAATGTTGTTTAATGGCTGTAATGATGGAGCAGTACAACTTTGAGTACATAATATGTACTGAAAACTTGTTCAGATTTAAAACTGCTTGTAATTAATATTTTAGGGAAAGAAACTATACAAACCAGAACCAGTTATTTAGTTATGCTTTGAAAAAAATACCTTGTTCAGATATTCATAAAGGGGAAAAATTATACTGTTGAGCTCCAGTATGAAGCTTTTTGTGTTTGATAAAAAAGGCAAATCATGGAAGAAAAAAAATTCAGATTAGCTTCACAACTTTACCCTTCAAAGGTTTAGTGGCATGAAGCTACTCAACTATAGCTTGTGAAGAAGGAATAAAATCATATGAGAATAACGTGATCTAAACCTGCTCATTTGGGGACGAGATGTCTACTTATCATATCTGAAAACTTTATCCTTTTTTAGCTACTTTTCCTCCAGAGTGATATTTGTAAATAGCAAATTGCCTGTGATAATCTGTTTCAGTCTAGGAGTGATGATTTTTGAATAGTTAAAAGCTGAAGGTGTGACAGTAATTACGTGACAGTAATAAAAAGAATATTTTACTTGATATTAGCTCTTTCCTGTTTTAATAAAGAAATATATGTGTTTATCTGGACCTGACATTTGTTCTGACTTTGTCTGAGATTGGAGAAGATAACTAAGCTTTAGAAATTTCATTTTTGGATGAAATGGGTTTCAATTAAAGTAGTTACACCAATATTTGCTGCAGTTAAGATACAGTGAGAAATATTAGAAGGAATTTTACAGGTGACTCGTAGATTGTGGTACATATTTAGACAAGTAAAAATTAAAACATTTTGTCCCCATTTCTGTCCTAGTTAGCTAAATTTTGTGTGTTACCCTCATTATTGCAGATTTATTATATTTAGCTGTTAAAAATGTTGCTACTGAAAATAATAATTTAATAAAGGAACTTAAAAGTAGCATCTCTTAGGAGTTTTGTTCTCGTCCCAGGATAGTTTTTTCTATGAAACATATTCTCTTAGCTACCCTTGCAAAGGGTTTATGTAGCCTTTACCTGATTGTCATAAGATTTTTTTATGAGTAGGGAATGTTTGAGTATTTGGAACTTACTGAACTAAAAAGCTGGGTATCTGTAAATTCGTTCTTTCAATTTAAGAATAAGAAATCTCAAACTAAGCAGTTTCATGACATGTCATCTGTTGGGTAAATATGCTTATCCACAAGCATCCAACAAGGAAAAATACTATTGAACATCCATGTAATAATTACAGCTTCTTGACAGATGCTAGTAAAGTTATCAGTTATCATACATTTTAATGTACATTTTTGTTACTAGAGATTCCAATTTTGATAGATGTGAATAAAATTTTGAGAGATTCTAGTACATCAGGTCCCTTCCTGAAGGAAACTTTATTTTTGGCTGGATTCTGTGGCCCTGAAGATTAAGGTGGCAAGAATGAGCAGCCTCTAAATTGACAACATTACGAAATCCTGAATTGTTTAGATTTAAGCACTTCCTTTTTAATTGGCGTTAAGGGTTACTTAGTGGTTTCATTGATTCAGACATACAGCCCTTATGAGAAGCTGATCCCGCATTGTGGAGCTACTGTCTGACACGCCTCCTGTCTGCTTTCTGCTGGATCTCACAAACTCCTGTCCCTTTCCAGGCTGGATTGATGTCACCTGGGATGCTGGTGGCTCTAACTCTTACCGTATGGGCGCAGAAGGAAAGTTTGACCTCAAGCTTGCACCAGGGTACGACCCTGATTCAGCGGCATCACCCAAACCTGTTTCATCCACTGTTTCAGGCACAACGCAGTCATGGAGCAGCTTGGTGAAAAACAACTGTCCAGACAAGACGACTGCTGCTGCAGGCTCCTCAAGTAGAAAAGGAAGCAGCAGTTCTGTGTGTAGCGTGGCAAGTAGCAGCGACATCAGCTTGGGTTCGACCAAAATGGAGCGGAGATCAGAAAGTGTATTGGAACAAAATATAGTTTCAGGCACTGACGTCCATGAACCAATTGTTGTTCTGTCTTCTGCTGACAGTGTGCCTCAGGCTGACATAGGGTCATCTTCCAGTGCGAGCACCAGCACCTTAACAGCGGACATGGGAAACGAAAATGCAGAGAGGAAGTTAGGTCCTGATAACTCAATACGTACTCCTGGGGAGTCCAGTGCTATATCCATGGGAATTGTTAGTGTAAGCTCTCCTGATGTGAGTTCAGTCTCTGAACTGACTAATAAAGAAGCAGCTTCCCAACGACCCCTAAGCTCTTCAGCGAGTAACAGACTCTCAGTCAGTTCTTTGTTGGCTGCTGGGGCACCCATGAGCTCCAGTGCAAGTGTTCCGAACTTATCATCTCGAGAAACTTCCAGCCTGGAGTCCTTTGTACGCAGAGTGGCAAACATAGCACGGACCAATGCCACAAACAACATGAATTTAAGCCGGAGTAGCAGTGATAACAATACTAATACTTTGGGAAGAAATGTTGTGAGTACTGCAAGTAAGTAAGCTTTTTTTTATTTTTAGTTGATGATTTTGTTGTCTCTTTGGCTTTCGTTACACTTGAGTTTGGATTGTGTTGGCTTAATTGAGAAATGTATTTAGAGCAGCCTTGACCTTGTGTAGGCCTGTAGAATTTATGAAGGACTCATAGAGTTCCTGTCAGCTGGAAAGTGTTACATTGCCCTGTAATGTCAGATCACAGGTACCCATCAAACAGAAAGGAATTTGAAATTAATGATTGAAATTGATTTCGATTATATGTTTAAGGAGAGAGTATGAATTAGACCAAGAGAATGGAAGTCTAGCAACAGTAGCTAATGTCAGGTACTTAGGCTTTCTGACCTGTGTAGATTTTGCATATTTCTGTTATTTTTCCATTTTCTCAGGAAGGGCAGTTTGTGCATATTGTGAAGTGTCTGAGGATATGAGCTAAGAACAAAGTACGAAGGAAAAAGAACTACAGTATAATGAAATGTTAGCAGATTGCTGATTTTGTCAAACTGCATAACATAATGTACTCTAATACTGAGTGTGTTTTCTAGAGATTGTTAAGATTAAGGTTAAGGCTTAGATTTGGTGAACTGTTCAGGAATATTAAATGTAGGGAAGTTTGTAGTTAACAGTGTTTTAAATGACATTATATACATGCTTTAACCATTTGCATGTTATTAGATTATATGTAGGAGCAAGGTATTAGCAAGGTAAGTTGTAAACCTGCTTCTTGTGAGTTCACTCTTTTTTTGAGCATGTTCCCATCAAAGTTGTTGCTTGTTGGGTATTTTGTTCTCTGATGGTCATAGTACTTTAAACAGAGAACTGCATTTCATGGGCTAGGCAAGTTAGAAAATGTGAAATTACCCAAGCTAGAAAAAAGCATAAATTTCTTGTAAAGGTTTCATTCTTGTCATGATTGTCAGTGAAGCTGGTGAAAGGGGTCTGGAGCAGCTATGAGGTGTTTAGCCTGGAGAAAAGGAGGCTCAGGAGAGATATAGTTGCTCTCTGCAGCTACCTGAAAGGAGATGTAGTGAGGTGGGGGCAGCCTCTTTTCACAGGTAGGAAGTTACAGGAGAGGTTTAGATTAGATAATAGGAAGAATTTCATGGAAATTTCATTCACCCTTTCATTGAAAGGGTGGTCAAGCACTGGAATGGGTGGCTCAGGGAGGTTGATTCTCCATCCCTCAAAGTATTCAGAGGTTGTGTGGAAGTGGCACCTGGAACATGGTTTAGCAGTGAACATGGCAGTGCTGGCCTAACATCTGGACTCAGTCTTTGAGGTCTCTTCCAAACTTAACAATTCTATGACTCTGTGCTTCCTTATTTAGAAATGCGGTGCTTGCTTTTAGCATTTTAAAAGATTTTTAAATACTGAATGTTTTCTTTTTTGATGGGGAGATTTTTTTTAATGTATCCTTATATTCATGTTGTGATACTGGGGATGGGGCTGAAGTCTAACTTGCAATAAAAATGTAAGTAAGATACTCAAAGATACTTTCAAAGAAAGCTTTCCAGGAATTGATCCTCTTATAGATAGATAGTGGCTCTGGTTCTGAAGTAGTTTTATATTGAGGGGAGGAAAAAGAGACCACCTTTAAAAAAAAACATGGTAAAATACTTCAACAGCTTATTTGAAATTTCATTAATGTTTGATACTATACACTGCAAAAGTTAAAAATAAGAATGGGGCATCTTAAAAATTTAATTCTGTGATAAAAATAGTCATACTTTATATTATCTGTCGTGTAGGAGTTATTTTGGTTTATGTTTTTTATATGATTAGAAACTGTAAATGGCAAGTCACGTTCCTAAAAGAGATCAGAGATTAAATTTGAGCAATCTCACCAGAGCTCAATTAGAGCATTGTAAAAAGCTTGATTTGTTAAATTTTTTTTTTCTTTATTTTTTGGGTTTTTTAGCCTGTTCAGGTTAAAAAAACCCAACCAACCAAACTAAAGACCAACCAAACCAAACAAAAACCCCCATCATCAAACAAACCACCCACAGCAATCCAACACCCCAAAAGTCAAGACTGAAATCATGGTTAGTGAGAGAAGTCTTTCTGGAGTTTCTGTACTGGTTGCATTGAAAACATCAGTATTTGCCAGAAGCTAAGTGGTGTCTAGAGTAGCCAATTTCCATTTGCTATTGAATTCAGAGCAAACAAAATGCTGATGCTTAATGGCTTTTTCTGTTTACTGTAACAGCAAAGAGTTTGCTGTTATTAATTAGCAGAGGGTAAAAGATGTGAATACTGAACAACTTATTTTCAAGCTCTTGAATAACAAAAGAAAAACTCTGGTTTTTCACTTCCATGCTTTCATAGAGAAGAACATAAACTTTGACAACCCTAAATTTAAAATTTGCACTTTCCCTCATCATTATGCTATGATTTCACAGCCCCCTGCACTGTTTATATTTTTATTTGCAAAATGTTAGCTATGTTTTCAAGGGGCAGGGATGTATGTAGTAACTGTATGTAACAGAGGAGGAAAGCAGAGATAGTAACTTTTCTTTCCCCCCCTCCGAAAAACTACCAAATTCACCTTAGGGGAAGCAGCTTTGTTATATCCTTTGTCCAGGGTAGTAATGTTTGCAAATAATGAAACTTCTTCTTTTAAAACTGAAAACCTTGCATTTGATAAAGTTCAGAAAAAGTAGGTTGAAAAACTTAAGACTTAAATTCTTAGTATAGATGACCCTTCAACTTTTTTTCTCCAAACAGTGAATTTAGTTTTTTTACTGAATTTAGTGAGTCTAGATTTTTTAATGAATTTAGTGAGTTTAGGTTTTTTATTGAATTTAGTGAGTCTACAGTGAATTCAGGTTTTTTTTTAGTTGTTCACTAAAATGCATTTGCTGTTTTATTTGAATGTACAGTAAGGTAACTTTTTAGTTGTTACTGGCTTATTCTGAAAATTATAAATCATCTAACATATGACTTATATTTCACAGTAGCGTCAGTTCAGGCATGTTGACTGTGATGAACATATATCTTAGTACTTGTTTGAAAAATAACTAGTTAGAGCTAATTTAAGAACCTTAGAAAAATGCACAGAAATCACAAGTTTCACATTTGTTTTAACATGTTCTGTTCCCAATTCTCTTATATATAATTAACTTGTTTGCACTATATAATATTGTTATTTAGATGTTAAATTTCATTTTAGGCTTAAAGACAGATCACAATGTTGGAGTAACAGATTTCAGAAATTCTTTACATATATTGAAAATGAAATTAAGTAATTTCAGGTTTATAGTGGGATTTGGGGGATTTATTTGATAAAATTATTTATTTAACATGTTTGCAAGGGAATAGGCTCAGAAGTGGGCATACATGTTGTAAGGTGTACTTTTGCCTTGGGAAACCCTTCCCCTTTATAGTCTGTTGTTCTTTATTATAAAATAACACACTGATAATTTTTCAACCCCAAATATATTTTTCAACACAGGAGTCATGCATGTAAGTTGTACTCTTCAAGTCATCAAATCATTTATTTTATCCATATCTTTATCTATAGCTTCTCCTCTTATGGGTGCCCAAAGTTTTCCTAATCTGACTACAACTGGTACCACATCAACAGTGACCATGTCTACATCCAGTGTTACTAGCAGCAGCAATGTAGCTACAGCAACTACAGTTTTATCTGTTGGTCAGTCGCTTAGTAATACTCTAACTACTAGCCTAACATCAACATCTAGTGAGAGCGATACAGGGCAGGAGGCAGAATATTCTTTATATGGTAAGTTTCATTTTTAAATGAACATAAGCATTAGACTTCCCATTAATGACTTTCCCTTTTATCCTGTTGTTATGATTTTCTCATATAGTAGTTTATTTACTGAAAAGCATTTGAAAGTTGAGCTGTTTGTATGTTACTTGTTCTGTAAGGCAGTAAGTAAAATAATGTTAATGTAGTAGTATTTCCTTGTGTTTTCAAATCTTTATTTTCAGCACTTTCTATCCCATGTTACTATTATTTATGGTATAGTTTATCTGAGCACTTGAATATTTTCCATCATCAAGTTTAGTTCCTAATGTAGTTTGCATATGTACTTCTAATTACAATCAATTTTTTTTTTGGTTTTGTTGTATAGGCATGCTACATGCAAAGTCTGATGTACCTTGTATTACTCTGATTAAAAAGCATCCACCATTAGGCACATTGTACCCTTTAAATAACTTCCAGGTATCTCAATACCGTAATAGTAATTTCAAAAAATTGGAAAAAACACAAAAATTGACAGGAGGAAAGAAATTACATGATTTGACAAACAGATCCAGAGTTGTGTGCACACTATAACCTAGAAACAGATGTCAGGACAGAGGTTACTTGAGACATATGAATACAGGGAAAGAAGATTTAGATCATTCGGTCAGTAATACACAGGAATCAAGCTGATAAAATGAAGTCAAGAAAAACCTGGGTTGTATATCGGAAAATACTTCCTAATGTAAAGTTTATTCATTTGTGAGATATTCTTGGAAGATACTTGATTTATTGAAAATCTTGTTGGATTAAGATTGTGTTATATTTTGTTGCCTATTGAAATTGCTTGAAAAATTTCTGGTCATTTCAATGGGTATTGGAATTGAACTGCTTGGAGGCAGTTGATTAATATATCTGCATATACCATTTCTCTTTACTCTTTTAATTAAGTCTAATGTGATACTTTGATTGGGTGACATGTCTTAAGATATATCACCAACAACTGAGCAAGTAGGGTGCATTCACGTATCACTAGGGGTGAAAGCAACAATAGGAAAGGTGCTTGAGTGGTATAGATGGTTTCTATGTGCATAGAAAAATGTAAAAGTTCAAAGCTTCATCCCAGTCCACTTGGATTGCTGTGAACTTCTTTTCTGGTTTTGGGAGGTTGTTTTTTAAATCTTAGTATTAAGTGAGTAAAATGGAACTTTGCCTTCAACTTCTTATTACGGTAATTAATTAGCAATTGAATCTTTAAGATATTACTCGTAAATGTTTATCTTATATGTCCTTTACATTGTAAGTTAAGGTCTAAACTACACGTTTTTAGTGGAAATTACATCACTCACCTGTTTTTAAATTACTGAGATGCAGAAACAGACATATGCATTTATACACCATTTTCTGGTGATCTTTTGTAATCTCCTATAGGTGTAATTATAAAATTTTCTAATCAAATGAAGAACAGATCACTCTTGCTGATCACTGTCAATTGTACCAATAGTAAGTGCTTCTATAGTTATGCTGTTGACTAGATCCATGGACTTTTTACCAGGTGTATGCTTTTATCACAGATTTTATATTCCTGTTCTGCAGTAAGTAATGTTTTCTTTTTCTGGTTTAAGTTTAGTGAGATTTGTTTTTTCACTCTTCCCAATGCTTCTGTTCTTTATTTAAAAAATTCTGCTTTAAAAGTTACTCTTGTCTTTTGTTCTGTATGTAAATATATATATGTGTGTTATAGATTTTCTTGATAGCTGCCGAGCTAGTACTCTGTTGGCAGAGTTAGATGATGATGAGGATCTTCCTGAGCCAGATGAAGAAGATGATGAAAATGAAGATGATAACCAAGAAGATCAAGAATATGAAGAAGTTATGGTATGGTATAGTTAGCATTGATGGTATCTTAATTGACTAATAGGTGCTTTTAAAATCCACAGATTTTATTTGGCAATAGGAAGTCCTAGCTACAATATTTCCATTAGTTAAAACAAGTCTATTTAGATTCATTTAGTTTCTTGCATATGGTCAAAACCACAAGTGTTTTTAAACACTAGCATACCCAAGAACCTTACAGGTCAGAGTTAATGTCTTAAACCAGGCTAGGAAGAAGTTGACAGACATTAGAAATTATGGATCACTAGTTCACAGGCTCATGAAATGGTATAACTGTGGATATATAATGCATACTGCTGCATTTGTAGTGATTCAGTTTGGGGTGTGTTTAACTGTAGGCCTGTATGAAGCAAAAAATTTGCCAGAGGAAATCACTCTCTTCTAAAAAATACCCCAGCAGAAAAATCAACGGGGTGGGGTCTAGACAAACCCAGCATGGTAGTTCACATGGCTCTTGCTTAGACTGTGAGGAGTTCTGGCTTTTCATTTGGTTGTTCTTAACTGGTATGAATAGTGCTTGGTCTTCTACTATCACTGAAGTGATCAGAATGAATATTGCAGAATCTAAGAGGAAAAATAGAAGGCTTCACTAATGCTAATTTAATATTTTACAGAATAAATAGAAATATTGTTTTATGGAATTATAGAAACTTCATCTTGTAATTAATATGCAAATATTTATTTCATTTGAACCAATATATGTAGCATTTTAACTTACTGTGTTTATGGTTTTGATAGAAACTCAGGTACATGACTAAACATCTTGTTGTTTGACCTTCTGCACAAAGATACAAAGTTAGGAAAAAAATCAAGCCAGTACAACTTAAGTGGATCTACAATGCAGACAGTAACTTCAGTTTGTAGAATGTTGATCCATTAAAAAAATATTAAATGGCGTCACTATTATTTAAAAGTATAATATATTATATTTATAAATTTATAAATTATATTTATAAAAATATAATAATATTATTTTAAAATGATTAAATGGAGTTACCACAGTGTGTCATATGGTCCAGCCTCCTTGCTCAGTTGGGGTCATCCTGGAGCACATGGCACAGGATTGTGTCTTGGTGGTTCTTGAATATCTCCAGGTTGGCCCACAACCCGTCTCAGTGTGTGTTTGCTCACACAGTAAAGTTCTTCCTCGTGTTCAGGTGCAACTTCTGTGCGTCAGTTTCTGTTTCTTGTCCTGATGCTTGGCACCACTGAGAAGAGCCTGGATCCATCTTTTTAACACTGTGTCATCAGATACTGACAGACATTGATGAGGTCCCCTCTCATTTGCCTCTTCAGGAGGCCTCCCCAGGAGCTTCACACCTTCCTGACTGAGGAGCCCAGAACTAGATACAGCACTCCAGATGCAGCCTTACCAGAGCTGAGTAGAGTTGCACTTTAGTGTGTGACTTCTGTATTCATGAACTCTCAATTTTTTAATCAAATTATTCTCTTTAGCAGAATCAGAAAAACAGCTAGGGTTTTTTGTTTTGTTTTTAATTTGCCTTTTTTTTTTTTATTAGGAAGAAGAGGAGTATGAAACCAAAGGAGGCCGTAGGAGAACATGGGATGATGATTATGTGTTGAAACGACAGTTTTCTGCATTGGTTCCTGCTTTTGACCCAAGACCTGGTCGTACTAATGTGCAACAGACAACTGACCTAGAAATCCCTCCACCAGGTATGCTGACAATGTATGTGATGCTTAATCTGGCTTTAGGATGGAGATTCACTGTTAAGTGCCCACTGGATCTGGGGATGCTGTCACTATTAATCAGTACAACATACTCTTGTGGCTGTGTGGCTTTTCTCTGTTTGAATGAGAGTTTAATCTACCTCTGCAGATCTAAGCATTATTGAGGGGAGAGTAAATTAAGTGCTGTGTAAAATAAGCATATTTAGGAATTTAACTAGGATCATCTCTTACCATGATAAATAATAAAATTTCTTGATACTTTAAAGATGTGCTAAAGATGCCTGGTTCGACTTGCAGGGACTTAACTGTGTTAAAGCTACCCAGAATAGTTTTGATTGGAGAGGGTGTGCTGACACAGTGCAAAGCTGAGGCAGAGACAAGGTAATGCAGTGATGGAGCAGTGTGTACAGTCAACAGCACAGCACCTGATCTTGCTCCTTGGCTCCTTAGTTCATTCTTGTTCAAGCACACTGGATGTACTCAAGAGTTCATTACAGAGAGGAATAAGTAGGTTTTAGCATAGATGGAAATAAGCCACTGCTTATTCTGAAGAACTGAAAGGCAGGTAATGTGTAAGAAAAGAATGCATGTGCTGTGATAATATATGTTACCAAGATACAGGCATCAGTAGGGATTTCAGAAATTTCTGTTAGTTTTATTCCCATAAAGAAATGGTTCAGTCATAATTTAGTTCATAGTTAGAACTCTGTCTCATCTCATGTGTGCAGTAAATATCATTACACTTCCTTATTGAACCATGTTATTGACATTTAGGCCACCTTGTAATGCACTATGTATTTTGTGCTAAGGATTCTCAAATGATTTTTGCAGGTACACCTCATTCAGAACTCTTGGAAGAGGTTGAGTGCATGCCTTCACCACGTTTAGCACTTACCTTGAAAGTTTCGGGTCTTGGAACAACTCGAGAAGTAGAACTACCCCTAACAAACTTTCGATCCACCATCTTTTACTATGTACAGAAATTGTTACAGCTCTCCTGTAATGGCAGCGTGAAATCAGACAAACTTAGACGGATTTGGGAGCCAACATACACGTAAGCTCACCACTTCATTATTCTGTGTAGAGAACGCTGTGGCTGATTAGGAAATGGATGTTAATTTTTTAACTCCTCCTCTGTAATAAGCAATGCTAGAATTAGATTTTTTTTTGTATTTATGTCAGGATGTTATTACTGGTTTTAAAACTACTGCTGTGCCTACAAAACCAGGGGAAAAAATCATAACCTTTAGGGATCTGCTTGGGAAAATCTCATGTTGTTATAATCCTAGCAAAAAATCAACCAGGAGAGTTGGTTGATTTTTTTCAAGGATCACTTTCCAGACTTAAGAACAGCCTATCCCAATATGTAGGAAGTCAGACAGAGTCAGTAGGAGAACTGTGTGGATTAACAAAAAAGCATGAAAGGGAAGCATGCAAGGAGTGGAAGAAGGGTCAGGTGATCTAGGAGGAATCCTAGTTGTCCCAACTTGAAGGCAGAGCATTAGGAAAGCCAGAGCACATCTGGAATTGAATCTGGTGATATGTGAATGGCAAAAGGTTAGTGAGCTCTTTTATACAAGTCCATGGGACCCAATGGAATGTACCCATAGGAGCTGGCCATTCTCTGTTACCTTTGGAAGGTCATGAGGGTTGGAGATACTTCTGAGGACTGGAGAAAAGGAAGTGTCATTCCTGCCTCCCTCAAAGACAGGAAAGATCTAGGGAATGACAAACTGGTCAGTCTTTCATGCCTGGAAAGGTGATGGAGATAGTCCTGGAAACCATTTTCAAATGATGAAGGATAAGGAGGTGATTGGAAGTAGGTGGAATGGATTTATGAAGAGAAAATCATGCTTAACCAGCCTTATAGCCTTCTACTATATGCCTAGCTCAGTGGATGAGAAGAAAGCAGCAGATATTATTTTCCTCAGCTTTGGGAAGGCTTTCATTGCTTTCTCTGTCAGTGACAAACTTAGAGAGCATGGACTAGATAGTGTCTCAAAAATGTCTGAACTGTTGGGCTCAGATGGTTGTGGTCCTTGGTGTAAAGGCCAGCTGGTGTACCCCAAGGGTTGATGTGAGTCCAGGACTGTTTAAACATCTACATTAGTGGACTGTATGATGGGACAGAGCAGACCCTTAGCTTCTAGACAAAACAAAACTGGGGAGGAGTCACTGTTGGACCAGATGGTTGTGCTGCCATTCTAAGAGACCTCATCATGATGGAGAAATGGGGAGACAGGAGCTTTGTGACATTTCACAAAGGGGGATGTGAAGTATGTCAGCTGGGGAAAACAGCTCTGCGTGTTACGGCTCAGGCTGGGGGACAGCTGCCTGGAAAGGAGGTTGGTGAAAAAGGCCTTGTGGGTCCAGGTGGACATAAAGCTAAACATGAACTAGCTGTGGAGCCCAGTAGCAAAGAAGATCAGCAACACCCTGGGCTGCATTAGGAAAGTTGGGTGAGGTGATCATCCCCATTTGCTCAGCACTGGTGAGTTACACCTGCAGTGCTCTGTCCCAGTTCAGGGCTCCTCAGTACCAGAGGGACATGAACACTGGAGTGAGTCTAGCAAGGGGCTGCTAGGATGATTAAAAGGCTGATTGCTTCTGTCATACAAAGAGTCTGAGAGTTCTGTATCTGTCTAGCCTGGAGGAAAAACGACTTGTGGGCTCTTACTGATGTGTAGCAATATCTGATGGAGAACATAGGGAAGCCAGACTGTGGACTTTTCTTTGTTGTGACATTTGAGAGGGCAAGAATTAAAAAGGGCTCAAACTGAAATACTATCTGAATACTAACTGAATACTAACTGAAATTCTATCAAACATGATATTTGAGGGCCCTTCCTACCTCAGTTATTTTCTCAATGTTAATTTGACCTTAATACCTTTATAGTAATAGACAGAAATTGTAAGACTATGTGGTGGGGAGTGTTTTCCATTTTACTAACTTAATCAATGTAACTTCTGTCATATTAGAAGAGTGATCTATATAGGAGTGACAACTGCAGTAAGGAGGGGTGCAGTATTTTTAACTGTAGTTCAGATTTTGTTAGCGCTTTTCTGTTGTGCCTATTTTCTGAGTTGTCTTCTCTCAAAAATTGCATGCTGTAACAAACTGGTTTTTTGTTAGAAATAGTTGAGAAACATGAGAAATAATTGTAAATGGCATGTCTTCTAAGTTAATGCACAGCAAGCTTCTCTAGGACTTCAAAATTTTAAAGAGTTGGTGCACATGTAGTGAAAAATCTAAAGTTGATTTGGGAAATTGGCACAATGAAGGTTGTTTGATTACTTCAGTCTCACTTAAAGAAACATAAATACTTCGCAAGATAGATACCAACATCATGAAAATAGAGCTTGAGAAATTTGCTGCCTCAGGGTATCTCAGATGTTTAGTGCAGCAAAGAACAGCTGCTGTTGCTGTTTTACATTACAATATCTAAATGTCACTGATACCTAACAAGTTGATGTATAACCTCAGAATTTAGAGGATGTGCTATAAGTATGAAGTATTAATTTATTGTTTTGATGTCTAGAATCATGTACAGAGAAATGAAGGATTCTGATAAGGAGAAAGAAAGTGGAAAAATGGTAAGACCTACTTCTGTGTCTTTGTTTTATGGCTGTTTAATAAAAGCAAAAGAATATTGTTGCAGTTTTTGAAATGCTACATTAAAAAAAACTAACAGTTTTCAATTACTTAAAGAGTATTAGTGAGTGTATTTGTAAATGCATGCTCCCTTAAAAAAAAAAACATTACATGTTGCATGTGAAATCTTGAAGACTTTACAATCAGGAAAAACCAACATTTGGTGGTTCCTGTTGTAGGGTTGCTGGTCAGTAGAGCATGTGGAGCAGTACCTTGGCACTGATGAATTACCAAAGAATGACTTGATAACCTACCTGCAGAAGAATGCAGACTCAGCTTTCCTGCGCCACTGGAAATTAACCGGCACTAATAAAAGTATTAGGAAAAACAGAAATTGTTCCCAGCTCATAGCTGCATACAAGGTATATGTCTGCATCCAAACTTTTTTTATTATGAATGGCTATGTGCTTTGTTTTGCAGCTTTAAAGATTATTGTTGAGGGAGAGCCATGGTATTTATAGGGAAGTTGAATGTTCAAAAGCCAGTTTCACGTTTAGGTTTTGCTGCTCTTGCCTTTTCATTTTAATGTCTTCTGTTAAACATAGTTGTGTTAAAATGCATTTGGATCATGATTTGCACCATGCACAGTTTGATTAAGTGTTAAGTTTGAGCACGGTAACTGTTTTGATTTTTTTTCAAATCAATTTGGAATACAGTCCTAAAGAGAGCAAAACACACAGTTTTCATTCTTAACCATTCTCTTTTTTACAGGACTTTTGTGAACATGGATCAAAATCTGGATTGAGTCAAGGGGCCATTTCTACTCTTCAAAATTCTGATATCCTTAGTTTGGCCAAGGAGCAACCCCAGGCCAAAGCTGGCAGTGGACAAAACTCCTGTGGAGTAGAAGATGTTCTGCAGTTACTTAGAATTTTGTATATAGTTGCCAGTGACCCTTACACAACACGGACTTCTCAAGAAGGTAACTTAGTTAATTGGCAGAGCTTCTGAAGTACTTAAATGAAAAGAAATAAAGGAAAACTTTTCTCTTGATTATTTTCAGAAGGAGATGAGCATCCTCAGTTTAACTTTCCACCAGATGAATTCACAAGTAAAAAAATTACTACAAAGATTCTGCAACAGATTGAGGTATTACACTCATACATTATATGCAGTGTATATCTGTAGTATTGTTTCTAGGAGTCTGTTATTCTCTTCCTTACCTTGACTGTTGGAAATTATTGGGGTTTTTGCCATTTTTGATTTTTGAATTGTTTCATACATGTTTTATTCCTTGCATTAAACTACAGGAACCATTGGCACTAGCAAGTGGAGCTTTGCCAGACTGGTGTGAGCAACTAACAAGCAAGTGTCCTTTCTTAATTCCGTTTGAAACGAGACAGTTGTACTTCACATGTACAGCATTCGGAGCATCAAGGTAAAAAAAATAAAATACAAGAAGTATGATTGCTTCCTTTTTATTTTTTACATATAACAGTTTCTAAATTGCTGATTTCCAGAAGGACCTTAATCCTAATGAGACAAATTTTTCTTGCCAAATGTGAATAATTTGGGTGATGGAAGGAAGAAGATGGAAAAACTCAGAATGACAAGGAATTTCATTTTTTACCTTCAGCTGAAGACTTGCTTATGTACTTATATAAGCCAGGTTTTCCTATTGGCCAATTTGTCTGGGTTACAGTTCATTGCATAAAGGGCTACGAAATAGGAAATGTTTGGAGAATCATATGAACTAGAAGTTTTTTAGAAACATGTACATTTTTATTGTTCCAGCAACTTGTGATTGTTTGATTCATGTATTTTTAATTCATTAATGTTTAAACAAAACAGAAAAAAAACTAAAAAAAATAGGCTATTTTGAAAGTTACTATAAGCTGCATAATGAAACTGGACAAGGGTATCCTCTAGAGTTATTTGTTACCTCAGAATCATTAATAGTTTTATTGCAGCAGTCATAATTTTTAGAGTATGTAGACAGTGTAAACCTTTTTGCTGGTATACTTTTTTTTTTGTAACAAGAAGGGAAAAGTAGATTTTCTTGGCTGTTGCTACACTTTATTTTCCAAATCAGAGGATAGAGAGAGAATTGCCAAAATTACGTTTTTTTCTTACATGCAGTAGAGGTACATTATGAGGAATGTAAAATGAGGTATTTAGAAAGAAAGAAAAAGGAAGAGAAGAAAAGGTATTAACTTGCAAGACATCAGTTTATATCTTTTTATTGTGTAAAAATTTTAACTTCTGCAGAAAGATGGTCCGTATGTTGTGGTCTTTTTTGTTTTGTTTTGGAAGAAGGTAGTTTTTAGAGAAGCTGCATTTTTAAGAGATGCCTCAGGAAACATTGCATGTTAGTTACTTTGTAAGTAAAGAGCTTTCTTAAGCTCTTAAAATACTGAAGTAGTTCTTGAAACTCATCTATTCTGTATGAACTCTGTGTACACTCTCTGTGTCTGTCATGACGCTTGGCTATTTTTTCAAAACAATCAACAAATGGTAGCTGTGAAGACAGTTTATTGCTGCATAAATGATAATACATACAAAAATTTGGAAATTTGACTTTGTGTAAGTACTGCTATTAAATGTACCTATTCTTCACTGATGGGTCAATTTGTCTATGACTGCACTTGAACTTTGGTTCTGTGTTGCTCTAAGGAGTGTGTAAATAAATAACTGCAAAACTTGGTCAGTATCAATGGGGTGATGTGCAACTGCCTTACAGTAAATAATGAAAGGTGTCATATGTGTCTATAACAGTTTTGAGCATCTGTGATTAAAAGTTCAACAGTAAATGCTACCTTTCACACTGTAGTGTGAAAACTACAGGAATTCAGATCAAGAATTGTATATTTTCATTGGTGCCATCATCAGAATCTGGCACTTATATTAGAAATTATTTTGTTTTCTGACTTCATAAAATATGAAGCAACCCATATTTTGGGGCATTTCAGGCTGATAAATAGTTTAGTTTGGTTTATACCTAAAAAAAATTAGGAGGCAATTAATACTTAAGCAAGTCACTTTTTATTGGTGACTACTTTCAAGTTTTGATGCAATGGAAATTTTAAACAGCTGGTGTTTGGTTTTTTTCCAGAGCGATTGTATGGCTGCAGAACAGACGTGAAGCCACTGTGGAACGGACAAGGACCACGAGCACAGTGCGACGGGATGATCCCGGGGAATTCAGAGTTGGACGCCTCAAACATGAAAGAGTGAAAGTTCCGCGAGGTGAATCCTTGATGGAATGGGCAGAAAATGTCATGCAGATTCATGCAGACAGAAAATCTGTTCTAGAGGTAAAGCATATCTGCCTAGCAGAGCGAGGTTAGATAGCTGTTTCTAGTGTACTGGACAGGATATTGAATATCCTGTTCCATTACCAACGCTGAACATTTCACTAGGATTTTCTTTTACTATTAACTTTCCTTATGTTTTTCTAGGTTGAGTTTTTAGGGGAGGAAGGAACAGGCCTGGGTCCCACCTTGGAATTTTATGCATTGGTGGCAGCAGAATTTCAGAGGACAGATTTGGGAGCTTGGCTTTGTGATGATGATTTTCCAGATGATGAGTCCCGACAGGTACATTTTAATTTGTATTTTAAACTGAGTACTTGTGTAAAAAAAATGGAAAGCAAGCTAGACATCCAGGTAGGAAGAACACATGTTCGTACAGCAGCTGGTAATCATGGTCAAGAATGATCACTCTGGTCCACAGCTTGTTTTTTTAATTATTCCCTTTTTAACAGAGCAGTAGGGTATAAGAAGTTAGTGCAGATATCTAATGAAATCCACCTTTAACCATGTCTGCTTTTTTTGTCTCTCTCTTAAATCAGGTTGATATCGGTGGTGGATTGAAACCACCTGGCTACTATGTACAGAGATCATGTGGACTGTTTACAGCACCATTCCCACAAGATAGTGATGAACTTGAAAGAATAACCAAACTCTTTCATTTCCTTGGAATTTTCTTGGCTAAATGCATTCAAGACAATAGACTTGTGGATTTACCTATTTCTAAGCCTTTTTTTAAACTCATGTGTATGGGGGACATTAAAAGTAACATGAGTAAGTTGATATATGAATCACGGGGTGACAGAGACTTGCACTGTACTGAAAGTCAGTCAGAGGCTTCCACAGAAGAAGGACATGATTCCTTGTCAGTAGGAAGTCTGGAAGAAGACTCCAAATCAGAATTTATTCTTGATCCACCAAAACCGAAGCCTCCTGCCTGGTTTAATGGAATTTTGACATGGGAAGACTTTGAATTAGTAAACCCACATAGAGCTAGGTTTCTAAAAGAAATTAAGGACCTTGCAATTAAAAGACGTCAAATTCTAAGCAACAAAAATCTGTCAGAAGATGAAAAGAACACCAAACTGCAGGAATTAATGCTGAAGAATCCGTCAGGTTCAGGGCCTCCTCTAAGCATAGAGGACTTGGGGTAAGTTTTCATATTTATTTATAGGTAGGCAAACAATCTTGTGTTAGAGAAAGAAGCCACCACATAACTACAAATTAATTAATAATAAAGCTTAGTTTTTAAATAGCATCATTGCAAGGGGGAATCCATAGAGATGCAGCCATATTATTTTTCTTTGGTTTGAGGATTTTTTCTTCTCACTTGCTCAGTTTCCTGATCTTAAATGTGGCTATGTTGCAATGATGTATGACTCTGGAGACATAAATACTTGTAAAAACAGCTGCTTGTAAAATCACAGCTTTTAAAAAAAGGGTGATTCAATAATTTCTTTGCTCTGATTACTTGAAATTTATCAAGTGTTTTGGAGAGCCTTTAAAGAGGACAGATTGACATCTCAGATTGTGTTCCTAGTACAGTGTATAAATCCATGTTAAACAGAGCCTGTGTTGACTTTTAGCAACTGTAAAAGACGAAATGCTCATACCTATGTAAACCCGTGTCAGGATGTCATCCTCCCTAGTTTTAAATACTTCCTTTGAAACAATAGTTTTTCTACCATTATATTATATTGTGCCACAAAAATTGTGTAGTGTCAGAGTTCAGTAATTACTTAAGGCTTTGGAATCATGTAATTACTTAAGGCTTTGGAAGCTGGAAGGAACCCCCAAGGATCAACCTGCACAGCGCCATCCCCAAGAGTCACACCCTGTGCCTGAGAGCATTGTGCAAACACTTCTTGAACTCCCCCAGGCTGATGCTGTGACCCCTTCCCTGAGGAGCCTGTTCCAGTGCCCAACCACCCTCTGGGGGAAGAAGATTTTTCTAATACCCAACCTAAACCTCCCCTGACACAGCTTGAGGCCATTCCCTTGTGTCCTGTCACTGTCACGACAGAGAAGAGATCAGTGCCTGCCTCTCCCCTGTAACTGCAGTGAGGTCTCTTCTCAATCTCCTTCAGGCTGAATAGACCAAGTGACCTCAGCCACTTGTATGCCTTCCTCTCTAGACCCTTCCCCATCTTGGTAGCCCTTCTGTCAGTGATCTCTAATAGCTTTATGTCCTCAAAGGGCTTGTGGAATTTAGCCTGGCTTGTTATAGAGAGAAGGCAAGTATCACTGTTGAAGAGCCTAAATGCCTAATAGTTCAAATGGCTCTGTAATTACTATTGCTGGAATTTAATGGAAATTGTTTTTCTGAATTTGTGAACTAAATTAAATGATTTGAGTAGTTTTGAAGCTGATAGCTCTAAAAAAGCTGATAGTTCTAAAATTTCAATTTATGAAATTTTCAGTGGTTATCAAATCCAAGTAAATAGAGAATAAGAATATGCATTTGCATACCATATGTTTGAAACACATATTATCTGTGTAGTCCATTACTGTTTGTAGTTCTGTGCTTTTGTATATACATGAACAGTGGTTCAAAGTGATCCACTCAAAATGGTTTGAAATCCAGTGAGGTACTTTTGGGTGTGACAGGTTGTAAATCTGGGGTGTTTACAAAAGCAGTAGCAGACTTGTTTTCAGTTATTAACTACCTTTGTATTTTGAAGTTTAAATTTCCAGTTTTGCCCTTCGTCCAAAGTATATGGGTTTACGGCTGTGGATCTCAAACCAGGTGGTGAAGATGAGGTAAGAAAATAACCTACCTTTACAATTTAACCAGCAGTTCAAATTTTATGGTCTCAATAATAACTTTAATGAACAGTGAATTCTTAGAGTATCTATCTACTGTCTTTGCAGACTGTAACAATGGATAATGCAGAGGAGTATGTAGATCTCATGTTTGACTTCTGCATGCATACTGGTATACAGAAACAAATGGAGGCCTTCAGAGGTAATTGTAAATATAATCATGTATGTGAGATTAGGTGGAATAATGGGTGTTTAGGGGATGCTGGTTTGAGTGGTGGCATAGAATGGCTTTCAAAAATAAACTTTTTACTTAAGAATGCAGTAGGTAAGATACTAATTTCAGAATACCTTTGCATTAGTTATGCTGTTTTTAATTGTGAAGATGTTCCACTTACCTTAATTAAGAAACTATTGATTGATTCTGGTTTGACTAAAATACAACTTAAATGCTGAGATTATTTTATAAACATTATTTGGACTCAAGTTTATGACTGTATCTTGTGTAAATTAAAGATGGCTTCAATAGAGTCTTTCCAATGGAGAAGCTGAGTTCCTTCAGCCATGAAGAGGTTCAGATGATTCTGTGTGGAAATCAATCACCTTCTTGGGCAGCTGAGGATATCATCAATTACACCGAACCCAAACTGGGATATACAAGAGATAGGTACTTTTATTCTGAGTGATTTTAAAATAGTAACTAAAGGAAAGTGTTAAGTGATAGAATGTCCAGGATGTTCATTAGATGAAGTTGCCAAATTAGATGAAACCTGTAGTTACTGAAGAGCAGGTGATTGTATCACATTGTTTCATGCAATTTTAGACAACAGGTAGGTTAGAAAGTACTTGATAGTTTTCTGATGAGAGAAGATTAAAAATTATTCAAAGACAGGTAACTAATGAAAACATAATGGCAGCTAATGCAGATTACTAAAATTAGAATTTAGAGTTTTTATTCTCATATTTGAGAGTAGTTATAATTTTTTTATGACTGTGCACATTTGTTACTTTGCCCATATTTCTTATTCCTTTCTCTTGAGGTGTAGTTAAAAAAAGAAAGTGTACTATGTAGGGGACAAATACACTTACATACTGGTGTTGGCTATCAGAAGGTGGTCTTGATGTTTTTGGGTTTGTTGGGGTTGGTTTTGGGTTTCACTGTTTGTCATGTTTGGTAGCAATAACATAAAAATCACTTCTGGAGCTGTGTTAGAATAAGCCTGCTGAAATGTTTGAGCTCTACTTCTCTACTCAGTAATATGCATTCAAATGCAAGGTACCCAAATAACATGCCAAGATAAGTATGTACCTATAGTTTTTTGTCTTAAGAGATTAAAGGCTCTGCCAGGAGATTAAAGACTATTTTTTTGGATTTAAGGATGTTTTGTTCTTAATACTCAACAGGCCCTAGAATCTTACAATGTCTGCTTAAACATGACTAAAGATTTTAACTCTACTTTGTCAAGTTAAGAGAAATTTTAAAACTCCCCATGCTCTCTTCTAGTGTTATCAGAACTAATTGCTTTACTTTATTTTAAGCCCTGGCTTCCTTCGATTTGTGAGAGTCTTGTGTGGAATGTCTTCAGATGAGAGGAAGGCTTTCCTGCAGTTCACCACGGGTTGTTCGACGCTCCCACCAGGGGGGCTGGCAAACCTCCACCCCCGGCTCACTGTTGTGCGCAAGGTACGGCTCTCCCGGCCACCCTTGGAGCTGCTTTGGCTGGCACTGCAGGGCTTTCTAATTAACAATGATGGGTTTTAGTACTGACCTCTTGTTTCAGGTCTGCTCTCTGATACCATTTTTTTTTTCATGTACAATTAATATATTTAAATATCAAAGTATTAATGTACATATAAAGCAAGTATATTTATAAATTGGCCTGTAGCTTTGCTGATGCTGTTGTTTCTTGACAACTGGCGTTAGGTACGCAGCAAGTGCCGTGACTTAGAGGACTTTACAGCTTTTAACTTCCATACTGAGTGCTGTCAACAACTGCTGTAAAATTCTTTTTTTTCCTCAGGTTGATGCTACAGATGCAAGTTACCCATCTGTGAATACATGTGTGCATTACCTAAAGTTGCCTGAGTATTCTTCCGAGGAGATTATGAGGGAGCGTCTGCTAGCTGCTACCATGGAGAAAGGCTTCCATCTCAACTGAGCCGCTGAGCGCAGCCTGCGACATGGAAGTGTTTTTGATACTAGCGAAGCCTCTTGTGTTTGTGTGCAAAAATACGATCTCCACGCTGTGCTCTGATGAGACTTGCCTTTTTTCACCTGTGAGGCTTTAGGAAAATGTGGAATGTTTGTTAGCTGCTAATGACAAAATAAATCCTTGTAACTACACAGCCAGCAAGAAATTGGCACAGAACACTGTGTGATGCTTCAAGGGCTTGCACAACTGGAAATTAAGGTGTTTCTGTTTGACTGTTCCAAAGAACAGATCATCAGATTTTCAGTGTTCACTGATACAAATTTCTAACAGTGTATTGTGTAAAGTTTGTCTTTTAATACCCTGTACACTACGGTTGCCATCACTGATCCCTGTTTTGCTGGCTTTAAGCTAACTGGTCAGAAACTTGCTTCCTTTAAAATTTAGACTTAATGGGCATCTCCAGCCTTTTCTTTTTTAATGGTGCCTGCACTATTGGAGTATTTTAGTGGGTTTTTGCGTATAATCATGCACAACCATTTTTTTTTTCTTCTTTTTCTTTCAAGTGGGAATATATTTTGATTTCTCAAATGCCCTGCTATAAAGATCAAATCCTTAAGTGTGTTTGTGCAGCTCAACAATAAAGCTAATAAAAAACACTGGTTCCTAGTGCAAGGCACACTTAAAGCAAGTTTTACTTTCAGTTGTATTTTCTTTGTATATTATAAACATTTATTTAACTTGTTGCAGTTTGAAGTTTAAAAAAAAGCACCCAATGTGTAAGCTCAAAAGTAATCATTAAAATGTTTGCAACATATAAAAATGTCTCTTCTGAATACTTCATTAGTACTTGCTAAATCTCTGGACATTCTGAACAATGTGCCATGCTTTTTTAAAGGTTTCAAAGAACTACATAAGAGAACTACTGATCTCACAAAGTCATCTCTGTGTTCAAATCTTTTCAGAGTAAGTGGAAATTCTTAAGAGTGATCTGGCAGTGATCACCTGCATGTGGCAGGTTTTGGTGCTCTTCAGTGAGCCCATGTGACTTGAGACTATAGCTCTTTATTGCACTGGAATAAAATCTGGGTCAGATGATACGGCTGATTCAGCTTTACTTGAGCTGGACTGGCTGTCTTGGTGTTAGCATGTGATGTTTATTGGAAGAAAAGTAGCTTACAGTAAGATAAAGCAAGATAGGGTTTTAAAGATTTTCAAGTAGTTGATACCAAAAAAAAAAAAAAAAATCTATAGTGGTTGAACCTATGTAATAAGTTTTGCTTTGTTGTCTTTGGTAACAACTTCTCAGGCTACTGCTGAGAGGGGTTTGCCAAAAGATTCTGCCTTGCACATACACATCAGGCTGGTGCCAGATTTCTTTTCATGGCATTGTTTTTTAGATTTTTCCTAATGCAGAATTGGAGAGGAATATCCACCATCCTGCCCACTCCTGTGCCTGACGTGCTTCAGACAAACACCTGTGCCCAGGTTCATGCAACTCTGCTCCAGTCCCAACATCATCTTGTTTTGATAAACATGTTGCTGTGTGAAAGCCCTGTGGATTACTCTGAGACACAACACTCTTTGCTCCTTAGACACTGGTTTCTGAGTGGTGTTTATGTGACCAGTGTGTGCTTTCACACAGAATATGCTTATTCAGTATCAGGTTGTATGTAGGGTTGGGCTGGAGGTTAAGAAGAAGGAGGCAGATAACTGTTCTAGAAAGGTAAGTGGAAGTAAGCTGAGATTGCCAACTGCCCCTGACTGACAGAGTAGTGTGCAGTGTGAATCAGCATGCTGGATGCCTGGGAATGCAACTCACCGTGGCTGCAGTTTCCTGCTCAAGAAGGGAGACTTCATTCAGTACCTACCTGGTCCTGAGAACTTGCATGTCTTTTATTACTCATCTTCTGTAAGAGTTTTAATCTTGATGCATAGATAGCATATACAAGAGAAAAAAAAATACACTGGTGTGCCAAAATGGACAAGATTTTGTGTAATTTATGAAGCCAACATGACAAAAGAGCATTAAACTTCTGATTTTAATTATCTTTTATTAATATTATAATATTTAAGTGCTAAATAATTCCAGTTACAACTTGCAGAGTATGCAGAAATACTTAATACATCTGTACTTTTCTTTTTGTGTCCGTGACTTGAATGGCAAAGGGAGGGAAACCAACTTTTTGATGAAGGATGAATATAGTCTAAAAGTAGGCATAAAAGTCACAGAACTATTATTAACAGTAAATTTGTATGAAAATAAATCAAGTTGGTGCTTAAGGGAAGGACTGAAACTCAGTCTGAGTTTGTATTTCTGTGTATTTTGTCTTCTAGGTCTGGCATGATACTACATAATTCAAAGGGATACCTAGTCAGTCATGGTAAGTTTCCATTTTTCATCCTCAGAATGTTTTATAATTACTGACCATTCTAGGAAGAGTTCTGCTGGGTCAGTGAAGCTGCATCTCAATGCATCCACGTGTTTAGCTGTATCTTTCCCATAGGGTACACAGAGTATAAAAGGAATGGAAAATAATTTTCCAATTAATTTCAATGTTGCATGAGTCAGTCTTGCAACAGCAGAAGACTCCTGTGGGCACATTCTTAATGCTTTTGCCATCTTTTGTAAAACTGAGTCACTCTTGCATCTTCCTAGCCTTCTGCCACTTTGTCAAGCACAAAGAGAGGGGCGAGAATTCTGTTCCGGTTTGTTTCCACAATGCAACCATTTAGCACCATTTCATCCAAAATGATGTGCACTCTGTCCAAATTGAACATGATCTAGAAACATTTCAAGTTAAGTGTATTTTGAACAAGGTGAAGATAATTCAGAAAAAATCTCAGGCTCCTAAGTCTTCAATAAAACTTAACAAAAATCAGTACTTCTTAATTTATTCTAGTTTATTTACCATTATTTTAATAAAGCTAAGGAAACAGTTCAACTGATGCTTTTTTCTGATCACGGAGTGGTCAGAATTAGACAAGTTGAAGCCCCAGCAGTATCCTGTCCTGGAATATAGCACTAATACATAGTTGCAAAAAACAGGTGAACTTACACTTAGATGTAGGTGGTTAATTTTACTGTCTGCCTGACATGTATTGTCTAGATATGAAATGTTATCAAGGGGTCACAACCTTCTATGTGAAGATGCAAAAATTCTACATTCCTCCAAGGAAGGTAAGTAGCAAGTTCTTAAGCACTAGATTGCCAAAATTTCCTTGCCCTGAATAACTAACAGTATTTGATCTGCTTGGACATAGCTTAATTAGGAGTATGCTGATACATAAAGTTGAGTCGTTGATCTAGCAGTAAATCTCATAAAGAAGAGGAAAAGTAAATAAATAAATAAGCACATTGGTCCATAAGCACATCTGCCTTTCCCTAACTTTATCTAACAGCATCTGTCTCAAAAAAAAAAAAAAAAAAAAAACCAAAAACCCAAAAAACAAAAACAAAAAAACAAAACAAAACAAACAACAACAAAAGAAAAAAAAAAAAACCAAAAAAAAACGATGACAGGCCTTCCAGGGGTATGAAGTGGTGGGCTGTCATGACACATGAGTGCATACATGCAGACAGGAGTGTCCAGCACATCCACTGAACAATTGCCAAGGGTTATGCCGTGAAAAAAATACTGGGATGTTGCCATTTATCTCCAGAACCTGAAATGGAAATGGGCACAGCAAAGCAGCCTGCTGGCTGCATCTGTTATGCCTCACTGACATACATACACAGAGCATGAATAACCCTTTATCTGCCTTGCTCTCCACCTGTTGCTGCTCTTTACATGTGTTCTATGCTGCTTTGCTAAGTGCAACAGGTCTGCATTGCCTTCGTTTTGTACCTTCTAAACCTTGCCCATATATTGAGGACTGCTGCAGTGGAGCTAGCAAGACTTTGTACAGTAACTGCTAAATACATCTCTCAATACTTCCCCCCCCCTCCCCCCCCCCCCCCCCCTTTGAAGAGTCTCTTGAGTGTCTTCTCTCCCATTCTGCTATTTATGATACTGTGAATTGAACTCAAAGAGACAGCCTGGCTTTGTTCTAATGTTTCTAGTTATGTTAGTGGTTTTCCCTGCTAATCAGTGGAGTAGCAAGAATCATGTTTTTGAAATCATCAAGAATTTCCTCTGCTCTCTGTGCTAAATATCAGTCTTATTTTTTGAACACAACTCAGGCATTGAAGAAGACTGCTCTGTCTCCTGGCTGCCAGTGGCTCAGACTTTGGCAGTCAGCCATACTGCTCTGCCCAAGAGCTGGAGCAGCATGAGTACTGAACTGCAAATGACAACAGCTCGGGAGCCAGGTATCTATGTATTTGTTCCTCCTTGCTGCGAATGCTCTGGGCTGAACTTGGTGCTACTACTTGCTGTGTTTGTGCAGAAGGGGAAGCAATTGTAGCACTGCTCCAGCAGAAAGTGTTCTGCTTGACCAAGAGCACAGCATGTCTGTGTAGTAGCACAATTCAGGTCCCCAGATAACTTTTCTACTAATTACTGCTAGGTGAGAAACTATAGCTGTCAGCAGGGTCTTGGGGATGGCCATGGTTCATCGGCTTCCAATTTGCTGACCTAAACTTAACTACCTAATTTAATTCTAAATAATTTTTTAAATACCAAACTTCTTCCTGAATCTGACCATAGGGCCTGCATTGTTTCTAAAAATCGTGTCTTTTGATACTGAGGAGCAGTGCTGTCCTTACAACTTCAAACAGTCATGATTTCTGTGGTACCAAAGACAGGTGGTAGCTTTACTTGGCTTGGTAGTTTAAAGATTGAAGCCAAATTTCTTGCTGTGATAAACTTACTGAGTAAATCAGCCTTTACAGAAATATTTTAATCTGAGAAATTAGGATTTCTTTATTACAGTAATGTGAGAATTTCTAGAAAAACAGCTGTTTTGCTGCTTAGTTGACCTCTGGCACTGCTCTGCACTGGGCTACAGGATCTGTTAAGGAAATTAGATAACATTCCATTCAGTTTCTGTTAGTGAGAAAGCCAACTCCTCCTGGCTTTTAATTTTTACACTCTACCACTAATTCACACTGCCCCAGTTCCCATGGCAGAGCCCAGACATTCCTCTAACAGTTCCAAAAGTCTAAAACCCAGACAACTTAATCAACCAGGATCAGTGACGATGCAGCAACCTGCCACCCCCATCTTATTTTTCTGCATCATCCCATTTAAGAAAACATTTAAATCACATTTTAAATGACATTTTGTCATCACTGTTTATTCCCCCGCTGTATTTCCAGAAAAGCCAATACCGTGTCAAAGGAAAACTGTACCCATGCAAAGAATCTTGGAGCTGGTTCACTCAGACCCAAAGTAGTTCAATGAGATTACAATTTCCCTGCAGGCCTTTCCAGGTTATTTCCAAATGGGCTTACTCCATTGCAGAAAAGTGGGATGACTTCTGTCCATCTCTAATATGGTAGTCTCACAGTCATCATTCCAGAAATAGTAATTTCATCTGCAGTTTGAATGGGGATACTAATACCATTCTGGAAAGATCTATCGACTTGATTTTGGAAGGTCCCAAAGCATTTAGCTTCTACCCTCAACATTCCACCTCTCTTCACCACAGTGTTCTTGGCAAACAATTGGATTGTACAGGGAGCAACTCCTTCTTTTCCCCTTCCTGTGAGTTTCACCTATGCTTTATGGTTACACCTTGCCCAACACAGCTCAGCCATTCATGTCTGAATGCCATGCCCAGGGAGGCATATGTATTTGATCCTTAGCAAGGCTCATCCTCCCCACCTGTTAACTTGTTTGGCAAGTGACCCCAAATTTCAGGGTTTAAAGCCCTGAAGTCATAATCCACACCCAACTGAAAGCAGCCAAGCAAACCAGTTTGAGCAGCTGGCAACAGGAAAAAGCTGTATTTGGTGTTTGCACTGCCATGTGCTCCACCCAGAGCTGTCATTTAAGGTGCTGCTTCCAGTAAGAATCCTGGCTACCCACAAAAAGAGCACTAAGGGACTTTCACTAGATCCAGGCAGAGGAGAACAGGACTTTTTTAAAACAAGAATGCAGAGGAAAACATGTTAATCTCTACATGCCAGCCTGGGCAAAGGTGAGTCCCCCCGGCTTTGGCTTCTCAGTTTCTGGCAATGCTGCAGCAAGCTGCATACCAAGCAGTAGAAGTAAATGGTACCTACACGACTGGCATTTTAAATGTTACACTGACTTTTGGTAACTTAGAGCTCCCCTTCTCAAAGACATTAATGGTACTTTCTATTATCTCTTTTATGGCAAATGCATACTAAGAGGAAGTACATGTGACACAAGGATTGTGTATATTGACAGTTGAGCAGGGAAGAGGGGAACGAAAGAAGGGGAAAAGGCACAGCTAGGACTTACATGTAATAAATAACTTCTTCCTATGGAGGCATTTTAAGAGACCTCAGGGTTTTCCAGACAAGTAATTTAAGGGTGTGTCCACAATTAAGGGATGATGATGTGCACCTTGTGATCCCAGACCACACCCAGGAGCACAAACAAAGCTTTCTAGATAACAGTACAGGTACATATGGGGCAGATGGTTTGCTACTGAATATACAGCACTACAAACCCTTGATTTCCATAACGTACATTCATCTTCAACTAGAGGTTATTTGGAGTTGCTTCTTTATTTAATGTAGACTCACACATTCTGACTTATCTTTGCCAATGTTCACTTTCAATAACTTTTAACCTTTCTAATGGCAGGCATGTTTAAGGCACTGAAACCCATTAAATGCTTTCTTGACTATTTCTTCCTCAAATGACTACACTGATATTAAACAGGAGACAAAGGTGCCTTCAATTCTGTGAAATTCTAGAACAGCTAAGCTAATTTTAAGCTAGTCTTATAGGTTTCCATTTTACCCACTTATGTTACAGTGCAAACTGACGTGCATCCTTATAAATTCAGAGAATGAATTCATCATTCAATTTTCACACTCCTTAAATGCACTGTATTCTCAGTGTTATCCTACAGGGAACTGAAGACTAGTTGATTCACATGAAGTGTTGCCTGTATCAAAGCTTCTTATCTGTCCTAGGAGGAGCAGCAGCAGCTAATTGCAATAGAATGTAATGGCTTTTTTGGATCAAAACAACATTTTTCAGATGCTTAGTCCTAGAGCACTCTGTCACCCCCTCCCTTCCCACAAGGGGAGCATAAGTATATATTTCTCTAGAAGTTAATAATGTCTTCAACTGCTTTCACCAGTTCAGGCAATAGAAAAGTTACCTTTCGTAATTTTAGAAACTCATACTTACCAGTGTTTTGTTGCTTATAAAGCTGCTGTCCTAACACGTGTTTTTATGGTCTCTTTTGTTGTCATCATAGCAAGAAAGTAGTTCCTACCCCACCCAAGCTGGAGTGTTAGTGCTTCAGAAAACCCTGCCCACTTATTTTATAGACAAAGTGTGGTTTATCAAGTGTTATTAACACATTAGGGCATAACATCCCAAGGACAATTTCAGTACTTGTTCATTCAGCTGGCCCAACAACACTGCTTACTGGTATTAAAAACAATCCAATGTCATTCCAGCCTAGGTACTTGTAAGTGTGCAACTGACTCTCAAAATGAAAAGGGACATCATATAATGGCTAAGTGGTTCACAAGTCACACATGAAAGCTTCTATAAAAAGCTGGCTGCTCTCAAGTACTTAGCCAATAGGTAATCTGTGTTCATTTTTGCAGAATACATGAGAAAATGGTGCAATTGTTCATGCATTGTTTAGCATCATACCTGCCTACGTCATACACACCAACATGATGTGTAAATCTTGTTGGGAAGGATTCAGACCTGACCCAGTCCCTGCCTTGTGCCCAAGGCACCCTTCCTGACATCTGGCTCTAGACAGACCATGACATGAGCTACAGTGTGGATGCCCTGGATGAATTCAGGTGTGGACCTAAATTAAAGCTGGAGTTCTGCCCCTGCTGGAACTGCATTGCCAGGAATACTGGGGTAATGCACTATGTCTAGGAGCTGCAAGAACCAGTGCACATGCTGCAGGCTTGGTGTGGGCTCCAGGGACATCTCAAATGTGTAACAAGCTCAGCCTTTGGATTTAACTGGGCTTTTTTCTGTGCATGGCTAAATAGCCTTAGTAATTATGGTCTATTTTAAATGGGTTTTGAGTTCATGTAATTTCCTTCTATTTTTTTCATGTTAGTAAACACTACTGGCAATATAAAATAGCCACTATCACATTTAAAATAAACTTCCTATGGATCTGTACACAAAAATAATAGCAGGGAGTCAGGAAATTATGAGTCTCCTGCAAGATATTCTGTAAACAAAGACTCTGTAAATAGTACTTGGTGTTCACTGTTGCAGACCTCAGAAGACACCTTCTCCAGCAGATATTTTGCATCCAAGCTAACTGCACTGAGCACAAGAGTTAGTGTGAGACCATTTGGCAAAGGCAATGGTTTAATCACAGGTGAGGATATTTTCTTTCACATTATGAAAGGCAAGTTGATGGTTTATTTCTTGCACTGCAATAATAGCTAAAGGCACTTGCCCAGATTGTTCTTCTGGGTCAGCTATTCAAGCTGTTGTCAAAAATAAACACAGTTCTGAACAATCCACTTCATCTTAGTTACACCTCTGCTTTACATTTAATAAGGGAGGGTATCTCATCTGGACTATTTTAGGCAGCTTATCAACTTAAGAATTAAGCTCTTCCTAAGTGGGAGAATTATTTTGTACATATATAGAAGTGAAATGTTTTATTGTAAAGTTGTTCCTGAAATGTATATCAAAAAAGTGCACTTCTGAATGCTAAAGCTACATACTTTGTGCATATGTCATATATGTTAAGGAGAGACATATCAGACACGAGCTTTTCCAGTATTTTTCTACTATGACCAAGTAAGTTAGAAATACACACTCCTATTTTCTAAATATTTATATTCATATCATCATGCAGATGAGACCCATGTAGATGAATTTCTGCAGGAATCATTCAGACATGATATTGCACCTGTTTCCAACATTAGGCTAATCAATAGTGTTGGCATATAATGCAACAACTTCTCCAAACAGTGCAGACTAAGGACAGGGTGCCATCCACAGGGATCTGGACAAGCTCCAGGAGTGGGACCATGGGAACCTCATGAGGTTTAACAAGACCCAGTGTTGGTGCTGCAGCCTGCCCAGAAAGACTTGGGGGTGCTGGTGGGTGAGAGGCTGCACATGAGGCAGCCATGGGCACTGCCAGCCCAGAGAGCCAAACGTGTCCTGGGCTGCATCCAGAGCAGCGTGGGCAGCAGGGCCAGGGAGGGGATTCTGCCCCTCTGCTCTGCTCTGCTGAGACCCCACCTGCAGGGCTGCATCAGCTCTGGGTGCCAGCACGGGAAGGACATGGAGCTGCTGGAGTGACTCCAGAGGAGGGCCACCAAGATGATTAGAAGGGTGGAACATCTCTCCTATGAGGAAAGACTGAGAGAATTGGGATTATTCAGCCTAGAAACGAGATTTAGGAGTGACTTAATTGGGGCATTCCAGTATCTGAAGAGGAGCCTTACAAGAAAGCTGGAGAGGGATGTTTTACCAGGGCACGTAATGACAGGACAAGGGGGAAATGGCTCCAAGCTGAAAGAGAGCAGATGTAGATTAGATATCAAGAAAAAAATCTTTACTGTGAAGGTGGTGAGGGACTACCCCAGGTTTCCCAGAGAAGTTGTAGATGTCTCATCCCTGGAGGTGTTCAAGACCCAGGGTGGATGGAGCTCTGAGCAACCTGGTCTAATGGAAAGTGTCCCTTCCCATGGCAAAGGGGTTGGAACTAGATGACCTTTCAAGTCTCTTGCAGCCCAAACCATTCCATGATATGCAGCAGCTTTCTCAGCTATTAAATGGGCTAGTGTGGGAGTAGCTCAAAGGTGTAGAGCTCTTGGTAGGAAATTGCTGAGCAGAGGCAGCAGAATTCAGAATAGTCAGTATATCAAATGACTCCGATAATCAGGCAACTGTATGATCAAAGCACACTATATGGAAACATAGGGGATTCTTTTATGTGTAATTACTAAATAGGTCAGGTCAGTCTCTAATTTGGCAAAGCTCATATACATGAACACATAGTTAAGGATTAGAACTAACTGAATACAAAAATTGTATTTCTACAATCGCTCACACACCTGAAGTGTCCCTTCACACTGGAGTATCATCATTGCACTTTCATAGTATCAGTGAATTTAAGGGGGTTTTACTAACACCACAGCATTTTCTAAATTTCAGGAAGGAAATGTGGATAATATGTGTGAATGTATGTACAAACATACATGCATACACATATATATGTATGTATGTGTGCGCTTGTATATATACAGTCAGCAAATGAGGCAGTTACAGCATGTAGCAAGCTTTAAAATATTTTCAAAAGTGAAATTAATTATTTCCTGTTGGTTTTTGTTTTGTTTTTTCCTTTTTCAGTAAAGAAGTAAGAACAAGAAAAATTACAGATTTTTTCTATGTTCTTCATAAGTGGTAATTCATAAATAAACTAAATTACTTGACAGTACTTAATTGCAAGATGACAACTGTATTTCAGGTGTGTAACTGAAACTCTTTCTACCAGCAGATCTGCATTTAACCAACAACAAATATAAGCATAAGAACTGCTGGAGTAGAGTCAACACACAGTGCAATTGGAAAAACTGAGAAGGAAGACTGTGCTACATTCTCCTGGTTTAATTTTTCCAGTATTGTGCTTTATTTACTTGCTATTTGTGTTTAATTGTTCAGGACTGTATTTTAGTATTTGTATTTGGGTTAGTTTTAAATCATATTTTAATTAATACCCTGCAAAACATAAGCATGAAAATACAGCAGTGTAAGGGTAGGAGTGGGAAAAGAAATTAACACCTGGTTTCCTAAATATTCTCCTCCCACGTTTTTCCCTCCTTCCAAACATACACAGTAAAACTCATATCAAACTGCAAACATAATCTTACAAATAGTGCTGCTATTTGGCTCAAGACACAGCTGTGACATTCAGTTGTTATTACAGTAATTTCAATATCTATTTTATTGTAACTCAAAGTGAAACCTTAAACTACTGAAGCCTGAAAGTTCCCCATGAATTTAACTTTTCATGTACTTAGCTCTCTCAAAGCAAGCTCTCTGTGTCTTACTTTAAATGGAACCAGGCTTATTTTAATGATGGAGGATTTAAATAGGTGAACATCACCTATGCTTTCAGAAAGGTGCCAAAATGGTGCTACTTACTCCAAGTGCAAAACTGGTGAACATCTGCATTGACTTGAGTGACAGTCAGTGCTATGAAGACAGTATGAACTGGAACATACACCAGAAAGTGATAACAAATGGATTTCTGATACTGAAAAGGATACATCTAATTCACTCTGCAAGGAAAAGAGATAGACAGCCATTGGTTATATTTTGATCTCTTATCTGAGATGATCTCATCTCATAATCATTAAACATAACACATCCCTTCAAAGGATAAAGAAAGTCTTCAAAACAATGACAGAAAATTTTATAGTGATTCAGATTTCTGTTCTGGACTGGACAATGACAAGTTCTTTCTTGCATCGCTGCTTTGCTTTACATGTGTTATCTGTCTATGTAATCAAAGCTAATGTTTTACTGAGGTCAGTAAAACATTAGCTTTGATTACATAGACAGATAACACATGTTATCTGAGGTCACCTACAAGTAACAATTTGAATATAGGCAGTGCCATCTGAGTGAGTGGGTGGAAAACCAGCAGCTCTAATCATGGCAGTTCCAGCCCTATATTCTTCCTCCTTCTGCAAAACCAGGACGTTAATGCCAAGTTTACACAGTTGAAATGGTTGCTGCAGATCATTTCAACAGCAAAATCGAGACACTGTATATTCCCATGGCTGTGGTAGTGGCTGCATATATTAGGAAAGGCAAGGCAACTCCAAGCTTTGGACTCTTAGCACTTCTAAGTATTCTCCAGCCCCAGCAACACAATTCTTCATATAGTCATCATTTCCCTTCTATTTTTGGGTTTATCCCAAGCAGTATTACTCACTTAACCAAAATGTCTGAGTTAGAAGCCCTCATGGTCTCTCTGCAGTCAGCAGCAGAGATGGGGACCTTCCCCAGTTGACTCGGCACACTTGAGGCATGACTCACTTTCTCGAGATACTCATCGGTCTCCACTGCCAGTAAAGGGAGCTTAGGATGACCAAATTTCTAACTTAGGTGCCTCAGTGAAATACCTAAACTTAGAAAGAATTAATCACAGCCTTAGCACTTAAGATCTTGCCAAGTTGGGTGGAGATTCCCCGTCTCTAAAAGAGGGAATCTTTACCTGCTACCGAGAGAATTGAGTTTGATAATGTGGTTTTCATTCATGGTATAAACCTGGTTTTAAGGCAGAGTAAAGCTGGTAAGGTTTTACTGGTAAAATTGCTACTACTACTGTGGTCTAAAGATGATCTAAACTGGACTAGTTCTACTCTACAGGCCTCTGCTGAGTGACTCTGCCATTCTTCAATTAGAAGTTTTTAATCCATCACAGAAATTGCATTTTAAGGGCCTGATCAGTTTAAGTTTTCTCAGCAGTAAAAAGTTGTTGGAGACATTGGAATTCTGACCAGTATGCAAAATTTTTCTTGGACAGCCATATAAAAGTGAAGGGGACTCAGAATTACATCTCACAAGCCACTTTGAAAGCTTTCCCCCTAATTCCATTAATGTTTGTTCTCATATCTGAATTCAAGCTCTGTAAACTCCATTAGATAAAAATTGAGTATGGGAGAATGTTTAAAGCTCTCAAGTCTAAAAATAATAGATGACAAAATGTCCTTTTAGAGTGGGACACATGTTCTCTCCTTTCCCAGAGTTCTGTCTCCATTGCCATCATCATAATTTGGGATTCTGCTAAAATGCTGCAAATCCTAAATAGTAATTTGTAAAAGTACAGACTTATATTTTCTTGCTCTGTGGTTACTGCCAGAAACCCCAGCTAGAATTACAGCCCTTGTCTTTGTGCTCTGCCATTTATTGTGTTATATGATATTAAAACCAGAACCATCAAATGGCATGAGATTTCTTTTAGCACCCCCCTTTTAGGTTCCTCTGTGTCAAACCCAAAACGCTATGGAAAATAAAAAAAAAACCCTCTGGTATGATGAACTCAGCAAATTTCCAACAGCTATCAGTGGTTGGGTTATATGTGTGGTCAAAGGATTATATATACTACATTTATATGTACAAGAACTACATCTATTTTTGCTCTGCTTTAATTGAATAACATTTGAGAGGTGGTTGGCGACTATTAACTCAATCAGACAAATAAGACTAAATTTTATTGTGCATTCCTGTGCTGCTGAGATCTAATCCCATTCCTAGTTATCACTGCTTAGGCTGGGACTACAGTCAGCAATTTTAAGAGAAATTCTGAGCTCAGTGCAGTCAGAGAATGATATACTTAGTGCCAGCAGTTTCCATGGCTGGGGCAATGTCAGTTGAGATAACAGCGTAAAAGATTTGCCAAGCATCTAAACAGTGAAGGGAGCAGGTGACTTTGTTAAGCATGTCCTTGAATTCACAGAGGGAGCTCTGCCATGCCTGCTACAGTACTAGAACTGGCAAAGCAGTTATAGAACCTGCATACTGATATTTTGCATGTACAGTAACCAGTGTAGTACCGTCAAGTACCTGACTACAGAGGAAACTATCCAGTCCTCTTGTCTGAGAGGGATATCCAACACATTTCAGCAGAGGATAACTGAAACTGTGCCAAAGTATGATTCCAGTCAATTTTTTTTGTAACAAGATTATTACAAACCCTATATTAAATAGAAAATGTTCCAACCAGAATTACAAAGCTGTATTTTCAAACTTTGTAAAACAAGCAAGCAAAAAAACTTCACCACCAAAAGGAAGAGTGTCATTTTAAATGGAGCCATGTCTGATGTTGAATCCTTAACAAAATTACTATCTCTATAATAGTTGTTTTATCAGATATCCACTGTTGCTTGACAACAATATGGGGAGTACAAGTACAGACTGGTTTTTGAGGTTTCTTTTGCTCCATTCCTCTGATCTTGTTCAGTGAGAGTGATGTCAGTTCCCTGCTTCATGCTTACACCATCTTAATAATGAATGAAGTTCATTTGGGGAATATAATACTATAAAGTGCATAAGAACTGCAACGTAAACCCCCTTTATTTCTTTAAAACATATAAAATGCCTATGGCTAATTTAAGAGTATATGACCCAAAGAAACCCCATAAAAAACCCATAAACCCATGCTTTTCTAACAGAAATATTTCTGGTATTCCTTGTCTGATAATTTATAACCCATGTATACTTCTACTTCTCTGAAAAAATCAGCTCATACTGCCTTTCCCTACAGTGATAATATTTATCAAAATTCTAAAATATTAAATATTTTTCTCCCTTGATTTATTCTCTGAAATGACACTTCCACCAAGTTTTGAAAGAGAAAAAATGTTTTGTAACAGATTCAGTGTATCACTCACCACTCTGCTGAAGTATTTGTCCAAAACTTCCACAAAATTATGAATTAGTTCATATACTGCCATCTCATTCTGAAATTAAAACCAACTGAATATTAAATCAACATCTACAAAATGTAATAGTATTCTTTGTGTTAATTCAGTTTGTGGTGAATGAAAAGCCATTAGACAATAGAGCAAGCCCTCTGCTCAGGCCATGTAGTCACCCAGCTGAGGTGCTGAGAGCTGGGCACCCCTGGGCAGTGCTCAGGGCAGGAGCTCTGGGCTGGCCACACAGAGCAGCTCTGAACACCCAATGGATTCTCTCACTGGGTGCTGCCATCCATCCCCCTGCAGCCCTTGTCCCACCCCCTCCCAGCTCAGCTCTATGGACACACACAGTTAACTAGGTTAAGCTTACCCATGCTGAAGTCACACCAGCCAGCTGTAGCACAGAGCCAGCCTCTGCTGGGCAATTTCTGTAGCAAAGCCAAAATAATTTGTCCCAAATTGCCTGCCATGATAACCTTGACTTGAAGATACTGTGGTAGGCAGCAGCTACCTTCCACACCACCCTGTTAAGGTCTCCAACAGTAAATGCTGAATTAATTTCTGAGAATTTCTGAATTAATTTTTGAGTCATCAGTGCAAACACTAAGACTCCCAGGTGCAACCTGAACATATGAAATAGCAGTACTTGTCAGGTTTCAGATACCTTTTTTTTTAATTTCCCTGTTTGAAAAGTAAAATAAATTGACATCTTTATAGCTGACAGTACAGGAACTTTTTCTTTAGGACATTAAAAAGAGAGAATTCTTTTACATTGACTCTTTGAAATTCTCTAATTGCTATTGAAAAATTCCATACTGGATGAAGACTTGAGTTCTAGGCTGTGATAATCACTATAAATGTTAATTTTAAGAGAGTATATCATTTCTTACCTCTGTCTGGTCGATGCCAACAACTATGAAAAGGGCTGCATACTGTCGGTACACCAGCTTGAAGTCCTTATACTCAACAAAAGAGCACTAGGCAGAAGCAAAATGAGTCAAATATAGCAGCTGCCATTTAAGCATACAACAGTATAAAGCACATTGCTCAAAGGACCTGAGCTTTCAGGTTCTTAAGACCCACAGCGAACATGGATTTGCCAAGATTCATCGATTTTAACTTGAAAGAAATTTAGTACGGTAACTGTTACACCACACTTTTCATCTGCTGACAAAAAATATGCCACCACTTTTTAAATGGAGAAACTGAAACATGCAGAACTGAAGTTACTTGTTTGGTGTTATAAAGGCACCCAGTACTTTCCCACAATTTTCATTTGCAAGCCCTTTCAAAAAGAGACTTAAAGGTAATTTTCCTATTTCAAAAAAGTATCGATATTTTAATGTAAAAATTAAAAATACTAGACTTCCAGACCCAGTGGGGAATTAACATGTTTCCCAACGGGAGGGAGCCAGGAGATGGCGCCGTTTCACGCCGCTGGAGGAGCTGCCGCCGCCTTTTCTCTCCGTGTCATTTCGCTCGGTGCCCGAAATGGCAGCGGCAGCGCCGGCAGCTCCTCCTGCGCTGGAGCTGCGCTCGGAAATGCCCCGGCAGGAGCAGCACGAAGACGTTCCTTTCGTTAGCCACTATCAAAGCTGCGAACTAAGGGACTTGTAAGAACTGCTATTTTGATTGAGGTTTCCTAGAATGAAGTATGTGAGGAGTGCTGTGCAAGAACACACAACATTAAGGAAAAGTAAAGAAGCTAACTTCAGAACAGAAACCAATAAACTTCATTCACTGTCCAAGTCCCACACTTCTTCTCTAATTCAAGTCAATGTGCCAAAGTTCGGTGCTTTTCTTAAAGAACCACTGATTTAATTAAAGAGAGCAATGAAAATCTCAACTTTCATCCAAAAAATTTTTCAACTTCTATGTTTTCTGACTTTCTTGCAGAACACGTAAACACTTCTTTTAAATAAAGAAGTCTAATACAGAGGCCTAAAAATTTGTGTTTCCAAACTCTCCTGTGCTTTAGATAATGTTTTCATAATTTGGGATCCTCTCCCCTAAGTTTAAACTTGGAGCTGTCAGTACTCTGCCCTCTACCTTCTGGCGAAACTGTAATATCTCAGTAAAACCAGCAATAACACTGATAAAAATGAGTTTTTCATGACTTCTGAGCTTCTTCAAACAAAGAAGAGGAATTTTCATGACAGTGATACACACGAGTCCAAAATCTCTGAAAGCCTCAGAAAAACATATGTATTCAATACAGAATAACAGTTCAAGTGACTGAACCCACAATCTAGAAACTCAATCTTTTATATCGTGGGTACAAATGAGATAATAACCTGTGATAGACACTGATAGGTTTCAGAATTATCAACAGGAAAGGTGTGAGATGCAGATAAAATAAAACCTACAAAACCTACCTCGTCCTTTGAACGAGAGAGACAGTTCTTGATTACTTCAGCTTCCAGCACTGTCCGTTTATTAATTTCTACATGCTCATAATACCTGGACAGTCTTGTTTGACCTTGTTTGTTAACCATAAGAAAAAATTTTATCATTTCTTTTTTGTTGATTTTAGTGGTAGATTTCAATTTTGGGTGCAGGAATCAGGAGAAGTATTTCTGGGAGTAGGGAAAAAAAAAAGAGTAGTAATACACAGGAATAAAGACTTTCTAAAAGCTATCCACCCCAGGTATGCATATACTTACGATGGAGTTTCTTGCCAAAACATACAATATTAAAAAAAAATCTCAAATCTTTTGCACACATCCCATGGAAAAACTCCCTTTTTTCCCCACACAACTATTCACAAACTATCTACTAAATAACAGCTTTCCCATTAGAAATTTTCACATTTCAATCAAATTAATTTTTTATAGGATTTGGGAAATTGGAGGAGTAAACAATTACTTCTTCATAACCATAAATCTACTCATCATTTTCTTCCTGCATGCTAACTGGTTTGCAAACATCAGAAATTTGCCCAATACCAAACCACACTAATGCAGTTCCTAAGAGCAAAATTTGCCCATAAGCACTTTTTCCCCTCCCCAACTTGTATTTAACAATTACATTCATACCATTGACACATCAAATTGAATGGAGAGATGACAAAGGGAAATGCATGGGCCACAACATATGGTCATTTCTTTAATGCAGAATGAGAAACTCCTAAATATTTGGGTATCTGCAGTATCAATATATATCTTGAGCTATTATATAGCTCCTGGATATATATATATATATATATATATATATATATATATATATATATATATCCAGGAGCTATTGAAATCCATCTTCTCCTGTCTGATTTCCCACCCTGATGCAAAAGGTAAATTCTGCACTTAATGAAAACTAAGTGTGGATCTTCAATAGCTGAAGAGAAATTGGTTCACATTAATTACTCAAAAGAGCTTTATCTCAATATAAATAAATATTGATCCACCCAACACCACTGAAATATAGCTTTAAAATATACCACATGCAACATACAATGAAAAAGAGCATTAAAAAGAGCACAGCATATGTCAGAATCTGCTTGCTAAACAACTGACATCTCTGATGTTTTGAAAAGCATGAAAATAGAGTAAGCTGCAGACGTAATTTTTTGAAATAGAAGATCTGGGTTATTTTCTTTAATGCCTGAGAACAATCACTGTAATGTTTTCCATCTGACTTTCTATTTGCATCCCAGATTTATTGGCCCAAATAATCTTGAGGTTTGTGCACTGGAAATAAAACAACTACTGCAAAAATTATTCCTTTTTTTCCACTTCTGAAGAGTTGGTCCTTACCTGGTGCACCTTAGGTCTCACAGCTTCTGTGACAAAGTTTAAACAGAAAAAAACTATCAGGAATCCACAATCTATATACAGTGTAGCTCTTTCAGTAAAAACAGTGTATCTTAATGCAGAAAAACAACAGGAGAAAAAATACAAGGCAAACTTCATAGGTGCTGCATCATATTACTAGCAACTTGAATAAACTGGCTATACACCACCCATGGGTGACAAATCTTTCATGACAGTGATGCAACAAGTCCCAATGTATTGTGTTGACCTTAATTAGTGCTTACTTCTGATTCACAGTGGTCACTGTTTTCTGAAAAGCCACCTCTTTTGCCATCACTTGGATCTCAAGAAAATGACCTTTTTTTTCTCAGTGTACTGTGGTTTACTCTATTTACAAAGAAGTTTAGATTTCCATATGTAATTTCAAATGTATTTTTACTTTGAGTTGATACTGAGAATTCATTCTTAGTTGAGTGACCCATAGCTCAGGATCAGTCCTCAAGATAACACAGTCTATTTGGAGTCATGACAGTCTCAGAGCTTTCTCACCTCCTCCAGGCACGTGAAGCCTCTCCAGGATCACACTCCTGCTCTGTCACTCCCTCAGCAGAGTCGTGGATGCTGGTCACTGCTGCTGCCGTGGCGCACGTGGCTTGTGCACTGCACCCAGGGCTTCTGAATCAGCACAGTTTCACTCTGAGAAAGAATGAACCAGGTCATTGAGATAAAAAATGGCCCGGACAGAAATATATGATGGGATCTTCACTGTTGGAGGCAAGTAGACTGACATTGATGACTAAATGGGAGACTACCATCTACTATCTTTGCTGTGTTTAGTATATGGCTCTTTTTCCCCCCCACATTCTATTTTGAAGTTAGAGTTGCAATAAGATGCAACTTTATGCTTTATTTTAAAGCATAAAGCTAAAATACTAAGATGATGTAGTCAGTTTTTGATAAAAAACTTCTAAGAAGGACAAGAATGAACAACTCCTTCCAGCTCAGAACGAAGCCCCCTAGCAAGAGCCAACATCATGACAGAAGGAACCCAAAACTTTAAAGCTGCTTAAGAAGGAGCTGTGGCATGAAAGAGAAACAATCTAAGAAATGCTGCCCATTGTTTTAAGCAAGCTCAGACACAGGAGACCAACTGAAAAAGACGTCTGTCCATGCTAAACAGGTAATAACAAAAGGGGCGTAGACAGCTTTTCTTTTTTCATCTGATTTTTACACTTCATCTTTGTGTTCGGCACTGCTGAAACAAGAATTAATGGTTCTCTGTTTTGATCCAAGCTATTTTAATAATTTAGTCATAAATGGTACCAAGGGCTTGAGAAAAGGAGGACAGGGCGAACAGTACAACTACTCCAGGAGCACTGACAGAGCTGTTGTACTTTGAGTTACTGTTAAGCAATACATAACAGCAAAACATATGACAAATTCATATGTATGATCCTATTGCAGGATTGGCCCCTAATCCTAATTATTCCTTTATTAACCTAATCTTTGTACATGGTTAATCCCTTTCTGATGTTATGACTATTTTATCTGCATGTATCCTTATGAATAGCCTGGATTGTTTTACAGATGAAAATATTAAGACCAGATTGGTTTTTTTAGAATCTGCACAAATGCTCTTATCCAGAATAGATTAAAAAAAGAAAAAAAACTAACAAGGTTGCAACAGAGGTAGAACCATAGTAGCCCTCAAAAGTGTTATCTGTAATATTCATAGGATTGGAAAACATAATCAACAACTTTTGAATCTGTAGGAAAGAGGTCCACTCTTTCTGTAGCCATTTCTGTATTTTCCCACCAGTCTCAAAGATAGGCTTCAAGATTTTAACCAGAAAATTTGTTCCTATAAATGGCAGCACAAGCACACAGTTTTGTGCAGAAAAAGAGAAATAAATTAACAAGTTCAAATAATAACTTTAAAAAAATTTACAAAAAAGTATGCAAGCATAGTTGACTTTGAGAATAATGCTAGTGTTAAGAACATCTTAAGGGTTTCCTTTAGAACTAATTCTGAAAAAAACTCACTTGTAGTAGTAAAAGCATCTGCTTGTACAATTTAGGCAAAAAAGAAATGACTGAGTTTTGTTTCTAACAAACAAAATTTATTTCTGCTCTTTTCATCTTGGCTTTCAAATACAGAAAACACATTAAAATTAATTTTGCATATATAGGATGTACAGAAACCAGTGAAGTATAATAAACAAACAAAAAGCATATCTGTGTATGTTGATGGGTAAAGAAACCCCATTCCACCAACTTCTTTGTATTTGAGAAGCTACCTTTTATGATCAATAATCAGTACTCTGCTTAAAAAGCCAGCTATCTTTCCTCTAGTAGAAGTCTTACATGCTTTTCTGAGCATTCTCACGCACATGTCTGCGTGTACCCATGCACACACACACAGATTACGATGCTTTAATGCATGCAGAATCATATGGTTCAAGGGAATTGCTGACAAGATGCAAGCCTTTCATATCTCTGCCATTATTTTGCTCATTTTAGTAATGAAAAGACATTACTATCTGAAGGCTGTTTGTCAGAAATGAATAGGCTCTCTCATTCCAGGTCACTGGACAACTATCTGCATCACAAATGTGCTTGGGAACCAAAGACTGGAAGAGACTACCGAGATCCTGATGGACTGTCAAGTCCAACTCTCTCCATACCAGTCAGCCATGCATTAGAAATTTTGTCCAGAACAGCCTATGGGATATGCTTCTTTGCATGTCCTGCATACCCAATCTACAAAACACCTATGGAACTCTATCACAGAATGAAGATTCCCTATAAACAAAAACGTCAGAAGGTATCGCTTGGGGAAGATGTAACAAGTCTGGAAACTGCAAACTTTCCTTCAAAAGAAATTACCTTTCAGAGTGACTATGTAGCACTCTCCTTTACTTCCCTTACAAAATATCCTGTAAAGATAATTTGGCATGCATGCAGATGACATACAGTTTTTCTACTGAGATTTAAATATGAGCTGTTACAGTGTATTAGATCTCACCCTCATTAAAGTATCTCTTGCAGATAAGTATCTATGAGAGAAAATTCATATCATGATTGGCCTGTGTGACTCACACTGCCAGGCTGATAGGGTTCAGGAGCTGCTTCCAGGACATGTCAGCTCTGCAGGCTGCATAACCACATCAGACACCTCGAAGTAACTTGTCCCTGTTTGAGTGACACTCCTTTTCAGATAACAGCTGAGACCTCAGAGAGAGGCAAAGCCTGCAATACCTGTTCTGCAGATAAAAAGATCTTAAGTCTCCCATGAGGCCAACCCAGCTGATTCTACATGCAGTAATACAAAGCATATTTTAAATACAATTTTAATTATTCCTCTGGTATAGATACAAGCACTGAATTTAGTTTGTCACAGATTTCACCAATATTTATACATAATCTGACACATAAATTATAAAAAAAGAAACACAATCTAAGTTTGAATTGTACTTGCAGTACAGCTGCAATTCAAATTAGACATGTGTCTCTCAAACAAAAACCACTCCAGTCAACATCTACAGATTTGGAAGTATTTTAGTTATTTCAGTCTAAGAAAGGTTTGCAACATTCTAGGGCTCTTAGCTAGAATGTAAGAGATAAAATCTCACAAAGAAGAAATGGCATGACTACATATTTTCAGAACTGCTTCACCAAGAATTAAAAATAAATGTTACATAGAACTATAGGCAAATAATGTACTTCTCTGTCCAACTCTAAACAAGTTGACTTTCTGGATGCAGAGATCTAATGGCACTTTATGTGTGGATGAAAGTAGAATCATAGGATATTCTGAGTTAGAAGGGACTGACAAAGATCATTGAGTCCAGCTCCTGGCCCTGCACAGAAAATCCCAAGTCACATCCTGTGCCCAAGAGTATTGTCCAAAAGCTTCCTGAACTCTGTCATTCACCCAGCTTAGCGCTGTGACCACTGCCCTGGGGAGCCTGTTCTGGTGCCCAACCACCCTCTGGGTGAAGAACCTTTTCCTGATATCCCACCTAAGCCTCCCCTGGCACAGCTTCAGGCCACTCTCTCAGGTCCCTCAGGACCTGTCACTGGGCACCAGAGAGAAGAGCTCAGTGCCTGCTGCTCCTCTTCCCCTCACAAGGAAATTGTTGACTGCAGTGAGGTGCCCCTCAGCCTCCTCCAGGCTGAACAGACCAAGTGACCTCAGCTGCTCCCAATATGCCTTCCCCTCCATGCCCTTCACCAAATGTAGAATAAAATGGGTTAAACTGGTATTAAAGCATTAATGAAAATTTAAAAGTGGCTAAATGATAGAGGCATGAAGCACAAGGAGGTGTAGCAAAAGTAACAAGTATTTTTAATATTTTTGTTTATTGAGCTTCCTATAGATTTATTGCACAAAGCCATGTAGCAAATAAAGACCACATACAGAATCAGAACTCTTGGTCTTCCTACTTTTGTTCTGTCAGTGAACGAGGCTTTAATAAAACTACATATTATTTTAAATTTACCAGTAAGAGTAATTTTTGTAGTCTAGTTTATTACTGTGCCCATAACAATTCATCAAAAAGATGAAACAAGTATGTCTGCATGGCTTTAAAATAAAAAACTGTGTACAGTTTCAGGACAGAGATTTTTTAAAAAAGCAACCTTAGTTATCTAGGGAAGTCAAGAGGGGAAGGAAAGAATAAAAATGTTTTCCTTTGCTGTTGTCAAAATGCTGGCTGAATATAGTAACGGAATTAAACTGCAATAATTCCTGTATACTCAGGAATGAGGAATGTCCTGAACAACTGCAGCTAAACAAAAGGTTAAACTAGTTATGAGCTAAGTCTCAGTTTTTAATAATGACTAGGTAACTGTCAGTAGACAATAAAAAGAAATCAGCTGAGGTGGAAAGGAGCTGCACTTAGATTGCCTAATCAGTATGGAATCAGGAAGAATGGACAATGACATTTTAATAGGAAATGATTTAATGGAGGAGAAAGGAAGGACTGGATGAACTAACTGAAGCATCAATACACACCTAAAGAGAGATTGGTAATGAAAGGAAACACCAGTACTAAGACAAACAGTGCTTTTTTTCCAGTAATTAACAGAATTCCAGGTCTGTCAAGAATCGACCTTTTTTAGGAAACTATCCATGTAGTGAATGAGTACAGCATGAAAAAATTTTGAAGCGAGGCAAAACCAAAGACCTACCTTACTTAAAATGGGTGACCTATGGATCATTTGAAATAGGATGTGATGATAATTTTAAGTATTACATTTCAGAGTGGTATTTTGCAATCAAGGCAATTTCACCGTATTCAAACTACAGCCTCCAATACTACATTGTTATCACTGATAAAACTGAGCCAGACAAAATAGACCAGTAATTTCTTGCAAAACTATCCTCACGTGGAAGAGTTTTGAATAGCGACCATGGGGCACTCTTCCTCCTCAAGGGGGGAATACATTACACACATCACAACCGAGGTATCACGAAGATGACCAGAGATTAGCCAGCTTCCAGAAACATAGCATAAATTTAATGTATCTATTCTAAACCACCTCCTTGTAGGGCGAACTCAGCGCACCATTAAACCGCGCAGAGTCTCAATAACTGAAGTGCTGGCCCCGCGCTGCGCTGGCTGCGCGTCGCTTTAGGCCGCAGGCCCCGGCCTGGCCGCATTCCCGCCGACTCTTCCAGGCGTTCGGCACTCCCGAGTGGCGGGGCGAACCGAGCCTCGCCGCCACTTCCGATTGGCACCCGGGGCACAGAGGAACCGCCCGGCCGAGCCCCGCGCCGCCAGCCCCGACACCGACCGGCCCGGGGTCGGCGCAGGCGGGGCCGAGGCCACCCCGCCGCAGGAAGCTCCGGGCCCCGCCGCCAGCCCCGGGCCCGGGCCCGGGCCCGGGCCCGTCCCGCTCCCCCCGGGCGCGGCGCTCACCTCCCTCCCGCGCAGGCGCGTGGGGCGGCGCAGGCGGCGGCGGAGGCCAGGCCGCGGTTTCCCGGCAGGCGCCGCTCGCTCCCCGCCCGGCCGGGTGGGAGGGTGGGAGGGCCGCGGGGCTGTAATGGCGGCTGGCGGCGGCTCCGCGCTGCGCTGACACCCGGACCCGCTCGGCGCAGCTCCCCCGCCCGGCCCGCCCCCTCCTCCCCGCCCCAGCCAGCGCCGCTCGCCCCCTCCCCGGCCCCTGCTCCTGGCCCCCGCCGCGGGACGAGGAGGAGGGCTCCCCGCAGACAATGGACGAGCACCCAGGAGCCGGAGGAGGCGGTGGGATGGCGGCCGCCCCGAGACCGCAGCAGCCGCCGCCGCAGGCGGGTGGGAACATGAACCTGCAGTCGGGTGGGGGCTGCGTGGGGGTTGGAGCCGGCGGAGGAGGAGGGCAACAGCCGCAGCCCCAGGGCCCCGCGGCCCCGGCCGGTCAGGAGGCGGCGGGCCCCGCCGAGCTGTCCCGGCCCCAGCACTACACCATCCCGGGGATCCTGCACTACATCCAGCACGAGTGGGCTCGCTTCGAGATGGAGAGGGCGCACTGGGAGGTGGAGCGGGCCGAGCTCCAGGTACTGGGGGCCGGGGCGATCTGGGACTGGCCCGGCCGGCTCCGGGGGCCGGGCCGCGCGCGGCGTGCGGGGGCAGCGCTGCCTGGGCGAGCGGGGTCCGCGGGGCCCCCGAGGCCGAGCCGCTCGCCGTGGCCCGGGGCCGGTACCTGGGCGAGGTCCGGCGGGCGGAGCGGCGGTACCGGCGGAGGCCCGAGCCGGGCTCCCTCCCTGGGGCAGCCATTTTGGTTTGTAGCATGGCGCCCGCCCGGCTCCGGAGCGGCCCCGGCCCCGCAGGCCGCTCGCCCGGAGCCGCGGAGCGGGGCCCGCAGCGCGGCCGGGGAAGGGCGGGCGGGCGGCGCTGGGCTGTGACCCTCCTCCCCTCCTCCCCGCCGGCGGGGCGAGCTGCGCTGTGCCTTGACAGCTGCGGTCGGCTCCCGCAGCACAATGACTCCGGGGCTCCTCGGGCCCGTGCGGGTTACCGACAGCAAGAGCCTCCGGGCCTGGGAGGAGGGACTGACGCCTCCCTGCAGCTCAGCGAGCTCTGGCTTTGGAGGGAAAAGAGGGAGTTAGGAGGCGGCCCTGCCTCCCGAGCAAGGGCAGGACGAGGAAAAGGAGTTCAGGAAAATCGTAAGTGGAAGACTTAGCTAGGCATGCAATTAGAGACGGGTCGAATTTGTTCTCTCTTTCTTTCTTTTGGAGATTTCATATCGGAGAAGAGCGAGGAATCGATAAGTCTGCGGTGTGGTCATTTCAGTATACACCAAAATACCAGCTTCGTCTCGGGAACGGAAATTGACTAACTTTTCAGGATAGAGAGCAAGTGTTGTAGTTGCAATATACATTTCTTGCCACTAATGTTTGCTTTTAGTAATAGGATAATTTTACTAATTATTTTTGCAAGTAAAAAAAAAATCTTGCATAGACTATTACCAGTTTATGAACAGATTGCGAAATCCACTGAATGTGAGGTATCCACACGGGAGCTATTATCTTTTTATAGGACAGAAATGTACATAATAAAAATGTAAAAAAATATTAGCAGACTTCATTGCTTCCAGAGATTTTTTGTGATTTTTGTACTGAGTGAATGTTTATGGTCTTGAAGTAGCATTCCGTCAAATTGCAGTGCAACAGCAGCCGGCGTTTGCAAGGCATTTACTTTCAGGTTTCAGAACTAAGAAGTAGGCCTGAGCCTGGGCAATTCTTTAGGAACTTGTTGGTTCTATAATAAGCACATATTTTGCACTATTTTTGTTACAACTATAATTAAGAAAGAATCAAAACTCAAAACCACCAAGGGAAGCAATTGAAAAGGTTTTACTGTTTGTTTCACTTACTGTAAGTCTTACCATTTTAAACCTCGTGAAATGGCTGAATTTAAAATCCATGGTGAACATGGGTGGGTGTTTTTGGTGAAGAGCAATTGGCTGTTTCCCATTTTCTCTAGCATCTTAGTGATATAGCATAACGTTATAAATAAGTTACTTAGTGTTATTCATTACCAGATAAAACCACCTTCAAATATTTGTTTTAGGTATGGGCTTGTTACTTAAAAGCGAGGTACTGGTGTACCCTAACATGAAGAGTACTCTGGAGACTTGAAAAGTTGTGTCTGACTGATGAAGTGCTTCTCTGAACTCACGTGGCCTCTAGACTCCCTGATGCACTCTTAGCCAGCTCTGCTGCTTTTTGTTTGTGGTTGCTGTTTGTTGTCCATGGCCATACCATTTCTTTGGCATGCCTGTGGAGTTACAGCAGCAGTTCTGACCCTGATTATGTATGTGTTGATTGACATATGTGTGCAAATGTCATGGGACTGAGGCAGCAGAGCTGCTGCACAGTGCCTGTGCACAAGAGTGTTTTGGTTGTTTTTTTTATAACTTTGGAAGCCAAGGGTAGAACGGGAGGAGGACATTACCCTTGGATTTTAGGTCTTACACTATGCAATAGTGAAGACTGATATGGGAATGTGTTGTGAATATTTTTTGAAGATAGATGTTTACTAGGTCTGTGGGTTCTTTTGTTTGCTCTGCAACTTAATTTGTAAGGTAACAGCATATTTTGTGGCCAGTAAAACTAATAGTTTGGATCCCAAACAGCAGTTTTGTCCCTTGAAGCTAATGAGAATGTTAATCTTACATCAAGTGTGAGTTTTTTGATGATTGAGTCCTCCTGGGTTGGAAGGAAAACAGGAATTCCATAGCTTGGCTGTAGATAATTTATGTGGAAGTGAGCATTGGATGATTTAGCTGCAACTCTCCCGATGCAGGTAATTTAATTCTTATTTCTTCATTCTCTCAAGATGACAGTAAACTCTATAAACAGTGCTTCTCAGTGCTGGCCATTGCAAGTTCTTTATAAGTTTGCTAAACATGCTTTATAAAAAGTATATGAAAAATCAAATGACTTAGCAATATGTGTGATTTTATTTATGTGTTCTGAATAGAAGAATTTATTATTCCAAAGAAGAAGATGCTTTCTTATCTGTGTATGAATTAATGGGCCTCCTGTGTGGTTTATTGACCCACCCCCTTTCTTTACCTGTGTAGTTCAAGAGACTGGGGGAATTGGCACCTCTAGTAGGAGCACTCTTTGCATAGAGGGATGATGGTGAAGGGAGATAGGTTCTGCAGTAACAGTTTATTCTTTCTGGATTCTTGTAATGACTTTTTTTGCTTGTTGTTGTTCTACCTATGGAACACAATTTTAGAAATAAAGCACGTGTTACTTTTTGTTGGGTTGGGGTTTATGCCATGGCTGTGATGACTGACAGAGGGTCTCAAGCCTTTTGGATCTGAAGTCTTGTTCTGGTAGACTTAGATCTACATTTACATCAGACTTTGAATCTAAAATGTTAATAGTTTTATGCTGTTTTTCCAACTCCTCAGGTGCATGCTGTTCTGC